TGAATAAAAATTAGGCAGCAAGATCTTGGGAGCAAGGAGTCCCAGCCCCACACCAGGCCACCCAGCCCAGGGTTCCAGTGCCAGGAAGATAAGTCCCTACAACTCTGGCTGCAAAAACCAGTGGGGATTGGTCAGTGGAAGAAATTGCTGGAGCCGCAAGCAGGTCCTCTTAAGAACCCACACACGGACTCACCTACTCAGACTCACTCCCTCTGAGCTCCAGCACCAGGGTAGCAGTTTGAAAGGCACCAGTGGCATATAGGGAGAAACTGAAGTGTCTGCCATCAAGGTGAGCAGAGTCCTTTTTCTTTTTTTTTTTAAGGAAGCTGTTTTTTTTAAGATTTTATTTATCTTTAGAGGGGAAGGGAAGGAGAGAGTGAGAGAAATATCAATGAATGGTTGCCTCTCATACGTCCCCTGCTGGGAATTGACCTGTAACCCAGGCATATGCCCTGACTGGGAATCAAACTGCGATACTCTGGTTCACAAGCTCGCGCTCAATCCACTGAGCTACACCAGCCAGGTTTTTTTTCCTAAACCCTCCCCCTACAGAGACATCAAGCTGGTGCCATATCTGAGACTCCATCAACCTGGCTAACACTGCTGTATGCACCTTGGAGATCCCCTGAGACTCTGCCCCACCCAATTTACAGGCCCACCCAAGTTGCTTTTCCATTTGAGTGGTTGGTCTTGGCTCTTGATTCACAACTTCCTAAATCCTCTCAAACAAACAACAGCTGGCCTCAGTGAGGCCCAGGCTGGGCACTAGCAAGAGCCAGCCTAGATTTACAGCTTGGCTTCACCTGGGAATCTCCAAGCCCAGCACAAGTAGCAGCCTTCTCAGATTGCTTTGTAGCTGAAGCAGTGTGCCCCAGGCAAAACATAGGTGGGGGCTGACCTTGGCCTGTACCACCCAGGAAACTCTAGGGCCAGTGCCCCAACTGGGGGACAACTACAGACCATGTTGAAGCAGCACCACCCTGCCCCTGCACAGTTGATCTTCCACGGAAGGCGGAGATTGGTCGACAGTGGTCACAGCCAGTCCTTGCAGCTGATTGGCTTGGGTAAATCCTTCCCATTAACCTCCCAACAGCAACAAAGGTTCAACTATAAGAGGAGGGTGTACTGAGCCCACATAAAGGATGCACCTCAAGTACCCAACTTGGGTAATAGGGGAGGCTGTATCACTGAACCCTACAGAACACCTACTACATTAGGCCACACTACCAAAACAGAGTCAAGAGTCAAAGCAGTTCTTGACCTAATACATAGAAACAAACACAGGGAGGCTGCCAAAACAAGGAGACAAAGAAACATGGTCCAAACAAAGGAACGGGTCAAAACAGAAAAAGAGCTAAATGAAATGAAGATAGGCAAATTATTAGATGCAGGGTTCAAAACACTGGTTATAAGGATGCTCAAGGAACTTATTGAGGACCTCAACAGCATAAAAAAGATCCAGTCAGAAACAAAGGATACACTAATTAACATAAAGAATAATTTACAGGGAAACAACAGTAGCGTGGATGAAGCTGAGAATCAGATCAATGATTTGGAACATAAAGAACTAAAAAACAACCAATCAGAACAACAAGAAAAAAGAATTTAAAAAATGAGGATAGTTAAGCCTCTGGGACAACTTCAAGAGGTCCAACATTCACATCACAGGAGTGCCAGAAGGAGAAGAGAAGAAACTGGAAATGTTTGAAAAAATAATAAAAGAAGAACTTCCCTAATGTGGTGAAGAAAATAGACATGCAAGTCTAGGAAGCACAGAGAGTCCTAAACAAGATGGATCCAAAGAGGCCTACTCCGAGACGCATCATAATTAAAATGCCAAAGTTTAAGGATAAAGAGAGAATCTTAAAAGCAGCAAGAGAAAAGAAGTTAGTTACCTACAGGCGAGTTCCCATAGACTGTCTGCTAATGTCTCAAAAGAAACTTTGCAGGCTAGAAGGGATTGGCAAGAAATATTTAAAGTCATGAAAAATAGAGACCTACAGCCAAGATTGCTCTACTCAGCAAAGCTATTATTTAGAATTAAAGGGCAGATAAAGAGCTTCCCAGACAAGAAAAAACTAAAAGAGTTAACCATTATCAAACCATTATTATATGGAATGTTAAAGGAACTTATTTAAGAAAAATAAAATCAAAACTATGAGCAATAAAATGGCAAAAATATATATATATATGTATGTATGTATATATAAACAATTGAATCTAAAAAGCAAATTAAGCAAACAAGAAGAACAGAGACAGAATTATGGATACAGAGACCATTTTGATGATTGCCGGATGGGAGAGGGCATGGGAGAATGGGTGAAGAGGTGGGGGACTGAAAAGAACAAATATGTAGTTATGGAATAGCCGTGGGGATGTAAAGTGCCGTGTAGAAAATGGAGTAGCCAGAGAACTTATCATACGCATGACCCAAGGACATGAACGATGGTGGGGGATTGCCTGAGGGAGTGGGGGGTGCTGGGTGGAGGGGGGCGAAAGGGGAAAAATCAGGACACCTGTAATATCATAATCAATAAAATATAATTTTTTAAAAAAGAATGCAGATTCACCCTGACTGGTGTGGCTCAGTTGGTCGGGCGTCCCCCAGCAAAGTGAAATGTTGCTGGTTCGATTCCTTGGGTGGGGCACTTGCCTGGGCTGCAGGCCCATTTCTGGTTGGGATGTGTGCAAAAGGCAACGTGCACACATCACACATCGGTGTTTCTCTTCCTCTCTTTCTCCCTCCCTTTCCCTCTCTCTAACAGTAAGTCAATAAATAGATAAATAAAATGTTTTAAGAATGCAGGTTCTCAGGCGCTGACCTAGAATACTTTCTCAGTGGGTGACTCTCATGCATTCGAAAGTTATAGAAGCACCTTAGCTGGTTGGAGCATCATTCCGAAGACCAAAATGTCTGGGTTTGATTCCCGATCAGGGCTCAGGACTGGATTGCGGATTCAGTCCTGGGCTGGGGAGTGTGTAAGAGGCAACCAAACCAAAGATGTTTCTCTCTCGCACTGATGTTTCTCTCCCTTTCTTCCTTTCTCTCTAAAATCAATGAGCACTTCCTCAGGTAAGGATTAAAAAAAAAAGAATTCCCTCCAAGTTGTGTATGATATCTTCAGGCATTGCCAAGTGTCCACTTGGGTAGGGTTGCCAGGTAAAATATAACATTCCCAGTTAAATTCCAATGTCAGATAAATATTTTTTTTACTGTATATATGACATATCTGTGTATCTGACCTACATCTCAAATACTGCCATCCTATATTTTTTACTTGCTGTACCTGGCAACTCTATCACAGGGGCGAAAGTCTCCCTTTCGGAGAAGGTCCAACTTTTGGGGTCTGAGATTTGAGCAGTGAGAGAAAACAATCTGCCGGGGTCATCAAAGGTCATGGCCTGGGAGGGCAGGCGCTTTATCACACTCGGCTTTGTATCCCTAGAAATAAAGTGGGTTCTCATTAAATATTCTAACTGACAACAGGTGTGAAAACACTTTGCACTGTATCAGGTACAACACCTGAGGACCCGGCCGAGGGGACACTCCCTGCCCTCGTGGAGTCCGTGGTCTCGAAAACAGACACCGGCAATGGTGTTTGGTCGGACCCACGCAAAGACCCAAATCTTTTTTAAAGATGTGACTTTGCGCTCAACCCTCTAAAATTGGAAGCCATTACAAAGAAGTCAGGATTTCCAGTGTCTCCTGGAAGGTGGGGGGTGCATCTTCCAAACGCTTGGAGCAGCTGGCGCCGGCGGTGGGGCTGCGCCCTCGCGGCAAGGCTGGGCTAAAGCTGGGAGATGCCTCCCCTTTTGTTACCGAACAGCAAGTGGGGTCCTACGGACCCCGCCTCCCTCTGGGCAAAATTCCAGAGGCACAGGAGAGAGGAAAGGAGTCTTTATTCAAAAGCTTCACAATTTTGGAATAATAGCTTCCACATGCATTAGTCACTTAAGTCTATCCAGTAAGGCTCAGCTCTTTAGCACCTGAGTTCTATCACTCCCCTGGTAGTTTTAAATGCCTTATTTCTACAGGGTTAGTTTACAAATTAAACAACGTAGGATACAAAAGCTACACAATTTTGGAAGCATGGCAGGCTTCAACCTCAGAGCCTGTTCCCTCTAGAGCAGGGGTGTCAAACTCATTTTCACCGGGGGCCACATCAGCCTTGCGGCTGCCTTCAAAGGGCCGAATGTAACTTTAGGACTATATAAATGTAACTACTCCTTATCTAGGGGCAAGGAGCTTGGTGCTGCCGCAGGGTGGAAACAAGGTGCCAGGCAGATAAAAGAAGGTGGAGGGCCGGACTCGGCCCTCGGGCCTGGCATTTACCACCTGTGCTGTAGACCACCCAGGGAAGAATAACCCTGGCACCCTCCACCAGGCCAGCCCGATCCTAGCCCACGCCCGGAGTTCTTTCCCACCCAAAATGCCATCCATCGTCCATTGGGAAATGCAGACAGCTGCCGCATGTTCACCTGTGTATCCTCAAGGAAGACAGCCTGAGAGAGCCCGAGAGCCAGAGAGCTTGTCCTTTTTCCACTTCCCTGCGCTCTGGAGGACTGCAGCTTCTCAGCCAATCCCATCCTGTCTATGTCGCCTTGGCGAACTCCTCCTGTGGCCCCTCCCTTCTTCTCTCCAGTGATCTGATCAGATCTCTGTATCACCTTGGCTGGGTCACGTACTCCCCCATTCTCCAAAGTGCCCACCACTCCCGATGGCCCTACGCCAGCATCGGTCAGCTGTTCACGCTGTCCACCCAGCACCTGCAGCTGTCTGGATTCCAAAGCTCTGGTCTGGTGGGGAAGAGGCGGTGGAATGGAATGTCCTTTCAGGTGGTCTGTGTAAGGCTGGCACGGTATCCCCATTTTATACATGAAGAAAGTAGGGTTGAGGGAGCTTAAGTGAACAGCTCAAGGGCATTACAACTGGACTGGATTGGAACCCAAGTCCCTGGACCCCGGGGCCCACACCCAAGCCCTGCACTCAGAGTTCCTCCTGAGAAACAGCTCCACTGCCCTGGCAAGAACCTTGTGGCCATGGGGACCCAGAGGGGAAGTGGTGACAGGGACGGAAGACCAGACCTCACCAGGCTCACTCATCTGTGATGTGAGAAAGAACAAAAGCAAGAGAAAGCTGGTTGAGGGGACAGCTGCTAGCAGCTCCGATTGGGACCCAGGGCCACATCTCAGACACCAGGTCACCAGGATTCCGCAACTCCCAGCAGGTGCGGGGGCTCAGCCACAGAATCTGTGAGTAGCTCTCTTGTTCTTTTATTTGGGGCTTCTTTGTCATTCCAGAAAACCTGTGTGGTTACCATACTCCTTTCCTCCTGGGATGTGAGAAGCTGGGTGGGCCTGCTAGGGTGAGGGACTGATATCATATGAGGACTCCTGGGGCTTTTAAGGACCAGTCACAGAAAGGCTTAGGGCTGGTGTGGTCCTCACCCGGTGGACATGACAAAAATCTTATCCACCAAGGTCCAGGGGACAGAAGGCGATCATCACCGACACACAGATGGCCTTACTGTGTGCCAGGCACTGCTCTAGGGCATTTCATTGTCTACAGAATCCTCACAACCACCGCACATAAGTACTATTATTATTCCTCACTTTACAGAAGGGTGCTAAGCACCTCACCTAACGTCACACAGACATTAAATGACAGTACTGGGCTTGAATGTAGGCACTCTGGCTCCGTGGCTTGCTCTTTAACCACCAGACACTTCTGCCTTCCAAGGCACAGGCTTGAATAGCAGAGGGGGACCAGGAAAGAACCCCAAAAGAAGAGGGCTGGAAGACTTAGAGATCATCTGCTGAGTCCAAGTGCCCTTGATTTACAGGTGGAGAAACTGAGGCACAGAAAGACTTGCAGTCCCGACTGGGGCAGCTCAGAAGTGGAGGGCAGCCTAGTGCCCCCGAGACCCAGGAGACCAGGGGCTCCCTCTTGGAGGTTCCACTCAGTGGGACAGTGGTGTTTAGGAGTGTGCCCTGGGCTGGTGCCCCCGTGGGGGCCCTGGCACTGTCTTCCCAACCCTACAGCCTCGGGTCAACCATTCCACTGCTCTCCCCCTCAGCTGGCTCTTCCGAGAAATTCTGCCCCAGAACATCACGATGAGGCCTGTGGGTTGACTGAATGACGTAGGCGCCGGGATGGGGACCTGCTCTGGGCTCAGAATGACTGTGGTGGAGGTTTGGGTCTTCACCCCACCTGCCCTTGCTGTGGATGGGAAATGAGAATACATGAAGCCATGGCGGCTTTGCCCTCAAATGCGTGGCATGTGGACACCTGGAGCCCCAGGGCTGAGTCAGGGGAGGGACCAGGGAGACCCTGGGAGGTGGCACCCCAAAGACTCTGGCCCCAGCTCTGTAACCACTTTGTGGCTCCCCTGGAGGGGGCCCCTCACCTGCCCTGGGGCCCAGCATCAATTTCTACCAATGAGTCACATCCTTTACCCTTTGGCCAGTTGTGGATATTAAGGTGGTTCAGTGGGGATAAGCTGGCAGCCCAGCTTGGCGAAGCAGAGCCCTTCAGCACCAGTCTCTCCTCATCTGGCTCCACCTTTAATCTCACTGCCTGCTCTCAGATGTGCATAGAAATGTTCTTTTATTCATTCTTATTACAGCACATTCAATAGAACTCTGAGCCCTAACCCTAATCCTAACCCTCATCCAACTGGGCCAGTCGGTGATTAAATCTCAGTGTCAGCTGAGCTTCTCCCACCCGCACGGGCACTTTCCAGGACAGAATGTTGTCTCTGAAGTTCACACGCAGGGCACAGTGTGAGCAAGGCCCTTGATCTTCGTGGCACCCTGGCTCCTCCTAGGATGGATGCCCCTTGTCCAAAGGGGCTTGGTCCCCTAAAGTCCAACCCCATTCATTTCCTTGGCATGCCTAGAGTCCAGATTCTTTGTCAAGATTCAAATTCACTGTGTCATCAATTCAACCTCCAAGGGGTGCCCCCTAGAAGCTCCCCCAGAGGACTGCCATCTCCCCAAGGCCCTTCCAAGAAGCAGAGCCCAAGTCCCCAACTCTCAAGGCACCATGACCTCGGGTCCCTTCCCTCTCCGGGTCATCTCTCCTCTCCCCGCCTGGGCTCACAGATGCAGGCTCCTCTCCCTCCACCCATCAGGGATGCCAGCCTAACCTTCTTGCTGAGCTCAGGTTTTCACAAAGGACAGGAAGAAAGGCGGTTTTCAAATGGCTTCTGCTTTCTACTCCCACCCCCGCAAAAAGTCCCTGAGCCGGGAGCTATGAAGGGCGCTCTTTGAAGGGAGATGCAGCCCTGCCTCACAGTGAAGGAAAACCAAGGCCCACAGGCAGTGCTGATTTGCTCCAGGTCACATGACCCAGGAATCGTGCAGCGGGTGTAGAGTGCAGGTCTATGGGCGCCAAAACCCATGCTCTCTCTCCCGAATCCTGCAGGAGACCTAAGTCCCCTCACCAATTGGGCAGGCGACTTTGGATGAGTTACATCTCCTTTCCAAAACTCACTTTCTCCAACTCTAAAAAATGAAGCTGTAAACAGCATTACCAACCTGCCTCAAAGGGGTGCTTCTTTATTTTCTTAAGTACACATTTATGGAGCACTCACTACACACTAGAGCTCTGCTGGCACCGAGACCCCCCTCGTTCTGTCCTCGCTACAGCCTACGAGGGAGATGCTATCACTGCCTCCACTTGAGAGGCGAGAAACGGAAGCTCGCACAGGTGTAGGGCCGTGTGAAAGTTCACACGGCTCGCGGTGCACCGCAAAGCCAGGGCACAAACCCAGGTGAGCCTGAATCCAGAACGGTGCTCTGTGGCAAGAAAGCGCTGAGGTGCGATGCAGGCTGGAAACGTGGCCAGCTCTCCTCCAGCAGAGCTCGGGAAAGGTAAACCCACTCCCCCTTCCCTCCATCTCCTGGGAAGGGGGAACATCCGCCGAGCATCAAATGTGTCCTGCCCCCAACCCCATGCCACAGGAAAGAAGAGCCCAAAGGCCAAGGAAAGAAAATGGCAGACAAGGGCAGATCCTTGGGGTGGATAGACCAGATGGGGAGAAGCCCCCAGGCATGGAAGGGAAGGCTGCTGGAATCCCATCCAAATGGGGTGGATGTTGGCAAGACCTTGGGGCTTTAGAAGTAGGTTGGATTGGGTGTCCTGTGGGTTTAGCTGTTTCCCTCCTCCCCAGCTGGCTCCCATCCCTACAGGGGAGGCCCCCAATTTTCTGCTCACAAAGCAATGAGAGGTAAAGCCCCCCACCCACCTCTCCCTGGGGATTTAAGCCACCCTGAAGTTCCTCTTTGAGAACCACAGCTGCGTTCATGGTGTTGCCTCTGCCAGAATTCAATGAGTCTGCCTCCTGTGTATCTCATGGACCTGTTTGGGGGTCCTGGGGGATCTGAGAGAGCTGGAAGCATGGATGGGTGTCTGCCGAGAACCAAGGGAGAGCAAGAGGCTTCACCAGTCCTCGCACGAGGCCATTCTTAATAATACTCACTTAACAGATGAGGCTGCCAAGGTTCAGACATGGCAGGTAAATGGCAGAGGCAAGAGTCAAGTTCAAGTGTGTCCTTCCACTACTTCACCAGCTTTTCCCAACAGGAAGAGAGGTATTGCAGAGGGTTCACATCAGGCAGGATCATGGTGCCTGTTTCCATTTTTTAAAAGATTTTATTTATTTATTTTTAGAGACAGGGTAAGGGAAGGAGAAAGAGAGGAAGAGAAACATCAATCAGTTGCCTCTCACACGCGCCCAACTGGGAACCTGGCCTGCAACCCAGGCATGTGCCTTGATGGGAAATTGAACCAGTGACCTTTCAGTTCACAAGCCGGCACTCAATCCACTGAGCCACACCACATAGGGATCCATTTTTTAATTGATGAATAATTATTTTACTATTTAAAAGATATCTTTCCCAGTGTGAGAGTTTCTTAGGATAAATAGAAGAACCAAAAGCAGCAGTTAGGGTATTATTCTAAGTGAAACAAGCCAGACAGAAAAGGGTAAATATCGTATCATTTCACTTATATGTGGAATCTAAAAAAATAAAACAAAGGAGAAATAGACCCTCAGACATAGAGCACAAGCTGAGGGTTGCCTAAAGGGAGCGGGCAGAGGAGGTGGGTAAAATAAAAAGTATATATTTATGTTCAGGGGGAATATTTATATTAAAAACTCATGTATCGTGGTGAGCTGCTGCAGGCCCACTCAAGGTCAGAAATCCATTCCACTCCACCTATTGAACACCCGCCGTGTACGAAGTTGGGTTGGAAGGTTCCGAGGGCATGGAGAGGACAAGACAAGGCCCCCTTCTGGGAAGGAGGAAAAACAAACCAATAAACGCACAAACGCGGCAGCGAGAAGTAACCAAACCAATAATGTTCCCGCGGCCCCTGACCTGCCTGCTTAACATTTGGCCCCTGGAGTGCCTTTGGCGGACATGTGGTCTTATTTAATCTCTTCTCGTGTAATTTATATCCTTAATAAACCAATGACTGAAGACAGGAAGCAAAAGAAACTCTGCCACCCACACCATGTACTCCTCCCAACAGCCCTGGGTGGAGACGCTGTCACTGTTCCCATTTTACAGATGAAGACACTGAGGCTCAGGGAGAGAAGTCATTTGCCCAAGAGGCCACAGATTTAATAAGGGGCAGAGCCAGAACTCACAGCTGTGACTTAGGGCTGCCTCTTAAACCTGCGCATGTGTTTCCCCCTTATCCTTCCCCGTTGGCCGCCTGTCTTCGCCGAAGCAGGTGGTAGAAATTGAGACACCATGCACATTGGGTGGGATGGGCATGACGTGCTTTCTTCTTCACAGCCCTACGGCCCCAAAGCCAAACAAACCCGTGAATGCACACGAATTCATTCTACTCTAGTCAGGTAGATGGAGCGGCCACAAGGATCAGCTCCCCCGAAAGGCAGTCCCCTCTCGGCCGCTCCTCGTTTCTCTATGGCCCGAGAGCTCCCACCAGGTTTAATTTATCATCAGCCTCCGTCCAGCTGTCCCTGTGACACTGCAGCCACTTTGTCACCACTCACAGATCTTAGTGGCCTGGAGCCCCAAGAGTCAGCCACTGGCTCGTGCCAGTTTGCTCCATGAGAAAGTGGAAGCGGTAGCAGCCCCTTTGTTGGCTTGTTGGGAAGGATATATGACTTAGTGTTCGGAGTGTGCGGAATGGCGCTGGACGCGGTGTGCAGTGAGCACTCATTCAGATCAACCTGCTATCATTGTTATACTCACCAGTGTGTTTCAAGAGTTGAGCCTCCAGGGCTCTTCACATCATCCTCGCCTATCACCCCACCTCCTCTCGGGGAACCCGCTGCATTCCAACCCCCACCCCTCTGCTGCAACACTAGAAACAACCAGAATCAAATTTAGAGCAGGGGTCTGGCCAAACCAGGGAGAGGTAGACCAACCTGGAGGAAAACTACAGGTGATTCAGAAAATCCACCCAGAGATGAACCCTTCCTACTCTCTGCTGTATAGAGAAGTCACTGTGAAAAGTTCTTGTCATCATTCAAAAGGCCTCTGTGTCTCCCTGGTTGTAACACCTTATTGTCCTACAGAGAACACTGGGTGAGCAGCAGAGGCGCCTACCACTTCCAGGTGTAATTTTAACAGTGTTCCCCAAACCCAGCCACTCCCCAACCACACACACACACACACACACACACACACACACACACACTTCCCAGTGTCCAGTGGCCGAGTTGTCAGCAGTAGCAAGCTGCCCCTGAGTAAGGAAGATCCAGACACTGTTATCAGTCATTCATACTTTAATATGACTGAGTTTCCAAAATTTTCTGTGCTGAGTTTTATTTTTTTCTAAGAAAGGAACAGGCCTTTTTGTCCCTATTACAGCAATAAAAATAAAGGGCCGAGAATCTGAGAGATGTTCCCTGAATCGCAAGGGACTGAGCACCCTTAAGCCCCTGAATGCTGGGATTTGGTGAAGCAGGAAACAAGGGAATTTGTGTTACTTACAGCAAGTATTTCAAGGGGTCCTCCAGAGGGGACAGCGGTCCCCTGGAGAAGGTCTCAGGAGCCAGCTGAGCAGCTGGGAGCAGGAAGTGTGATGATTATGGCCTGGGCCTGGGGTCCAATGGGCTCTGCCCCTCTGTCTGACCTCGGGCAAGTCACTCATCTATCTGCACTCCTGACTCTCAGTCTGTAAAACAGAGGCCACAATGATAGCACCGCCTTTCCTGGCTTATCGTGAGGATAAACTGAGTTTACATGCAAGTCATTGGTCTTCAGGCACCCTCCCCCAGGACCCCTCGGCCCCCAGACCCCCACATTCACAAGGGGCAAGTTAGGCTCTAAAAATCTGTTCCTCAGCCCTCTCACCACAGGTCCTTTGAGAGGCCCTTTTGAAATAAATAAATGTGAAGCCGGCCATGCCTTTCTTGCTGCTGTGCTTCCAGCAAGCTGCCTCTCCCCCCATAAATAAGATCAGTTGTGCCCACTCTGAAAATCCTGAAGAGCGCAACCGTCCTTGAGGATTTTCACAAGCATCAGGGAGAACCCCTTCAACCAATTCATTCCACAAATGCTGACGGAGCAGCTGCCCTGTGCAGCCAGAGTTCTGGGCACTAGAGATGCAGCAGTGGACGACAAGGCTCTCTATTAGAGCGGACATTTGAGAGTCCTGGCGGCCACGAGTGGCGCTGGACACCATGGTTAGAAAACCCGGCCAAGGAGGAAAGGATGGCGAGCAGAGACCTGGGAAGAGACTGTTGCCAGAGTGTTAAAGACCCCCGCGCCCCTCCATCTTCGGTGGGCAGTGCCTGACACCAGGTGTCGCAGTGGCCAGGGGCGGAGCTCTGATCCTGCCACCTACGAGCTGTGGGACACCTGGCCAGTCCATCCCTCGGAGCCTCACCCTCCTCACCTATGAGATAGTGAAACCAAGACATCTACCTGCAAAGGGCAGTTTGGAGGGCAAAGGAGACAATGCAGGTAAAAAGCCCCTCAGAGTGCCTGCCACAAAGGAAGCCTGAGGGGACAGTGACAAATTCATTCTCTTCACACACTTCAACCACAACGAAGTGTCACAACAGGTTGGGTGCAGAGATGGGTGAAAACCCAGCTGCCAGACAGTTAAGAGATTTGCCCCCGAAAGTTATTTTTATTAAAAATACATTGTTTCTCTTAACATGTGTTAGGTTTATGAAAGACACTTTCTAAGTTGAGAGTTTTATTTGCTAATACAGTCATGACTGGTGGATGTAACCTCCACCAACCGCAGCTCTGCAGGGCCCGAGTGACTTTTCATTTCGGGTTGTACAGAAACGCGGAGAGCGCCGAGTCTGCGAGCTGCCGCTCGGGCTTCCTGAGCTGGTTTTCTCACGCCAGCTCCCAGGCAGCCTGGCAGCCCCCCGCCCCCACCTTGCGTGGGTGGTTCCCTGCACAACTTCCAGGTTGAAAGGACCCCCTGAGATCTCACCAAAACGCCCCTGTGGATGCTGTTTTGTCTGAGGTTCCCCAGCCTCCAGTTCCAGCCAAAACCGGAACTGGAATCTAGATTCTCATGTCCTTGGTCCAGGGCTCTTGTCGTGATTGCAGACGGACAGACAGGTGCTGACCTCCTCACCCCGGGCTGGCGGACAAGCCATCGGGCTCCCCACATACTTGCAGCTTCGCGTTCACTCAACTCTAAAATCCCAAGTGGCAACAGGAGTCTACGTCCATACCACCCTGAACGCACCCGGTCTCGTTTGATCTCGGAAGCTAAGCAAAGTCGGGCCTGGTTAGTACTTGGATGGGAGACCAAATGGCAACAGGATCTTTTCCCTCTCTCCTACTACCCTTCCCCTCCCTCCTCGACCGCCCCCTCCACCAGCCCAAAGCATGACAGAGACGACGTTGTCATTTTCATTTGCCACCAACTAGCAAGGAAATTGGGAAAAGGAGGAGAAAGGTGTAATATGTATACATATTCTATGTGGCCTACACATAAAATCTGCCATCAATGGAAGGCTTACTGTGTGCCAGGTACTATATTAAATATGATGTGATTCCGTTAATCCTCGTGCCTTGCTCCACTGATGAGATAGTTACAACTTGTTATTCCCATTTTACAGATGAGGAAACTGAGGAAAAGAAGGGAAGTACTTCATCCGAGGGCACACAGCTAACACTTTGCTGAGCCAGGACTGGAACTCAGGTCTGTCTGACTCCTAAGCCCGCCAGCTGGAATGGTAAATCCTTGGGGGTGAGAAGGTCAGGACTCCATCAGGCTGGAGACAGGACTAAGGTCTCAGTGGCCATTGTGGCAGTGGTGAGTGAAACTGATCAGAAGAGGGAAAAGGCCAAAAGGAGAGAGAAAAGAGATGCCCCCGTGGGACTAAAGACAAAAGGTTGTGTCCACTGTCGGGGCCCTGTACCCTGCTCAGGGTCACGACACAGTTCCCGGCTCTGGACCAGCCTGACCCTATCCCAGCACAAGGGCTCAAGTCCTGTCACTGGCTGTGGAATTTGGGGCCAGGGACCCGCCCTCTCTGAACCTGTTTGCTCAGAAGACAGTGACCTGCCTCAGCTAATAGCCAGGAGTCTTTTATGCAAACTATCAAGTGTGAAAAAACGTGGGCATTGTTAGTACATTCTTTAAAAGGGAAGTTGCAGAGGGTATGCAGTCATTGAAAAGAGGAAGAAGGTATTTGAATGTATTAAACAAAACTGCCTTGTGAGCAGATTTCAGATCAGTCAAATAGTGTGCTAAGTATTGGCCCGGAGGTGGGAGAGCCAGTGTAGTAGCAAGAGGACAGATGGGACCCCGGTCTTCAGAGGAATGGACAGGAGCATGGGTTCCCAGTGCCCACAGCAAGTCTCTTCCCACCTCTGGGCTCCAATTTCCTCACTTGTGAAAGATGGAAAATAACACTAGCCTCATAGGGGGATTTGGAGGCTTAAATGAGATAACGATGCCTAGCACTCATTGTCATTATCAGCCAATCTTTTTTTCGTGGGGCAATAAGTGACTGCTGCATAGAACTAACTGGTGCCACAGCCGGGGCTCGCACCCTGCATACCTGCCTCCCGTGCTACAGTTCCACCAGGCAGCCAAGCTTCTGCTTAGTTTGTTTGAAATAATTATTTAATGGGCACATGAAGAATGTGAGGATTAGCTTCTCTAGTCACAGATGAAGCAACTGAGGCTCAGAGAGTTTAAGCAACTTTCCCAAAGGTCACACAGCCCACCAGTGGCAGAGCTGGGATTTGAACCCAACAGCATTTCATTCCTAAGCCTTGGAACTTAACCTTCCTACAGTGGAAAGAGGCCTGGGACACCAACTGGCCCCATTCCTCCTAGGAGAGAGGCTGGAGGTGATACAGCAGCTGAGGATGGGAGGTCCAGGGAAAATGTGAATCCAGACATCAGGCGGTGACCCCACAGACCTCTGGGTGGTGAATGGCGGTGGGAGGAGGCTTGGGATGGGAGCCATCAGCCCCACAGGACAGACTCACGGGGACTGGATTTCAGTGACAACCAATAGACATTTGAGAGAGGAATTATAGAGGAGACTTTAGTGATAATCTTCTGCCCTAATTCTGTAAATTATTAATTCTTTCCTGAAATGAGTGGAGGTAGCCTATATTGTGAATTAGGGAGTTGAAGTAAAAGCAAATTTCAGAAAGCACTAATAGGAGCAATGAGTGAATCAACCTGAAATGACCTTACATTGCATTTAGCTCTAAGCGTCCTGGCAGCTGAAGAAAAAGGAAATGCAGACATGTGTCTGAAGAAGCTTTCTTTTTTCCTAATAGACATTTGTTCATTCATTCAATAAGTCAATTTTATTTATTTATTTTTAGAGAGAGGGGAAAGGCGGAAGAAGGAGAGGGAGAGAAACATCCATATGTCATACATTCACGGACCGGTTATCTCTCCCATGGCCCCTACTGGGGACCTGGCCCACAGCCCAGACATGTGCCCCGACCAACCAGAGACCTTTTAGTTCACAGGCCAGCACTCAATCCACTGAGTCACATCAGCGAAGGCAAACAGGTTTTTTTAAATGTGATGGTTCAGCCTTCATGGAGGTTAAATGTCCACCAAGGATGAGTGGAGATCTTTCCATCTGTCTCAGCTCTCAGACAAAGGTCAGACAAGACTCAAGTACAGAATCTTGTAAGAATCCCATAAACTACTGAGGATTTCCTGCCTTTCATTAACCAGGCACAGCACCATGAGCTCAGTAAACATAAAGCACTTAATCTGCACAACAGGGCGATATGGGTAGCATTTCTCCAGGTTCGCAGATGAATGAAACAGGTGAAGTAACTTGCCCAACATCATACTTCCCATGAAGTACAGACCTGATTTGAATCCAGAGAGGTCTGGTTGCAAAGCCTGTGCCATTGGAATCCAACACAGTGAGTTTCCTGGAGGAGACCTAAGAAATCACTCAGTCAACCCACCTGCTTTGAACTGCTTTAAAAAGAGAGACTTCCAGCCAAGATGGAGGTATAGGTAGATACACGTGCCTTCTCGTACAACCAAAAGAAGGTCAACGACAAATTTAAAAACAAAAAATAACCCGAACTGCCAGAAAATCGAACTGTATGGAAGCATGACAACCAAGGAGTTACAGAAGAAATATTTATCCAGACCAGTAGGAAGGGCAGAGATGGGCAGCTGGAGTGGAGAAGACTCAAAGCAAGGCAGCGGCTGGTGGACCAGGGGAGGCAGCAGCTGGCAGAGCAAGTGGTCCCACCTTTACTTGCAGATAAACTGGGAGGAACAACAGGGGAACTAGACAGACCATGCAATCCAGGTTTCCAGCATGGGGAAATAAAGCCTCAAAACCTGCTTGTAAAAATATGTGGGTGTTGAGGCTGCAGGAGAGACTCCCAGCCTCACAGGGGAGTTTGTTGGAAAGGCCCACAGGGTCCTAGGATGTACACAAACCGACTCACCTGGGAATCAGCACCAGAAGAGCTCAATTTGCTTGTGGGTAGTGGAGGAAGTGACTGAAAGCTGGCAGAGAGCTGAATAAGCAGCATTGTTCCCTCTGAGACCCCTCCCCCCACATACAGCACCACAACACAGTGATGGGGGGTGCTCGCCCTGAGGAATACTTAAGGCTCCACCCTTACTATGAAACAGGAGTGCCAACACAAAGAAATATGGCCCAAGTGAAAGAACAGATCAAAGCTCCAGAAAAAATGCACTAAGTAATGAAGAGATAGCCAACCTATCAGATGTACAGTTCAAAACAGTGGTAATCAGGATGCTCACCGAAATGGTGGAGTATGGTCACAAAATAGAGGGAAAAATCGAAGGCTATGCAAAGTGAAATAAAGGAAAATGTATGAGGAACTGACGGTGAAGGGCAAGAAACCAGGACTCAAATCAACAGTTTGGACCAGAAAGAAGAAATAAACATTCGGAACAGAATGAAGAAACAAGAATTCAACAAAATGAGGAGAGCCCTGGCTGGTGTGGTTCAGTGGATTGAGCATGGGCCTGTGGGGCAAGGAGGTTGCCAGTTTGATTCCCAGTCAGGATGTATGCCTGGGTTGCGGGCCAGGTCCCTGGTGGGGGAAACATGAGCAGCAACCACACATTGATGTTTCTCTCCCACTCTTTCTCCTTCCCTTCCTCTCTCTCTAAAAATAAATAAATAAAAATATTTTTTAAAAATGAGGAAAGGCTTATAAAACTCCAGGACAACTTTAAATGTTTCAACATCCGAATCATAGGGGTACCAGAAGGAGAAGAGGAAGAACAAGAAATTGAAAACTTATTTAAAAACATAATGAAGGAGAAATTCCCCAATCTGGCAAAGGAAATAGACTTCCAAGAAGCTCAAAGAGTCCCAAAGAAGGTGGACCCAAGGAGGAACACACCAAGGCACATCATAATTACATTAGCCAAGATTAAATATAAAGAGAGAATCTTTTTTAAAAGATTTTATTTATTTACTTTTAGACAGAAGGGAAGGGAGGGAGAGAAACATCAACGTGTGTTTGCCTCTCACGTGGTCCCCACTGGGGACCTGGCCCACAACCCAGGCATGTGCCCTGGCTAGGAATCGAACCAGTGACCCTTTGGTTAGCTCAATCCACTGCGCTATACCAGTCAGGGATAAAGAATCTTAAAAGCAGCAAGAACAAAGGAGATAGTTACCTACAAAGGAGTTCCCATTAGACTACCAGCTGATTTCTCAAAAGAAACCTTTCAGGCAAGAAGGGGCTGAAAAAAAATATTCAAAGTCATGAAAGGCAAGGACCTACATCCAAGATGACTCTACCCAGAAAAGCTTTCATTTAGACTGGAAGGGCAGATAAAGTGCTTCCCAGAAAAGGTCAAGTTAAAGGAGTTCATTACCATGAAGCCCTCATTATATGAAATGTTAAAGGGACTTATCTAAGAAAAAGAAGAAGATCAAAATATGAACAATAAAATGACAATAAACTCACAACTATCAACAACTGAACCTAAAAAACAAAAGCAAAAACAAACTAAGCAAACAACCAGAACATGAACAGAACACAGAAATAGAGATCACATGGAAGGTTATCGGCGGGGAGAGGGAGTGGTAAGAACAGGAGGAAAAGGCACAGAGAATAAGAAACGCAAATGGCAGGTACAAAGTAGACAGGGGGAGGTTAAGAATAGTATGGGAAATGGAGAAGCCAAGGAACTTATGTGTATGACCCATGGACATGAACTAAGGTTGGGGAACGCTGGTGGGAGGTGGGGTACAGGGTGGAGTGGAATAAAGGGGAGAAAAAAACAGGACAACTGGAATAACATGATCAATAAAATGTATTTAAAAATAAAAAATAAACAGAAGAAAAGAAAAACCCAGAAGAAGAAGGAACCTGCCTGAAGTTACTCGGTAGCAGAACGGGGACTGAAAAAGCAGACCTCCACATTCACAGTCAGAGATAAAAATAATGGCTCTTGGCCTTGAACCTCAGCTTCCTCTTGCAGCTGTAGCAGCCTCCAGGGAAGGGGCATGCTCCTTCTCATCTAACACATCCCAGTGCCTTCAGGCTTTAAACATAGTAGTAATGGTGGGGCCGCCTGTGAGCGGGGCACTGTTTTACTTCACAGTTTCACTTCAGGTCAGAAAACCCCCCAGGGCACCTTTTTCTGAGCAGTTTCCACAGCCCTCCAAGTTCCCTTTGCAGATGCTCAATCTGAGTCGGGTCTCCAGGCGACATCGCTGAACATCCACGGCAGTGTGGACACCTCTGGGAGAAGAGCGTCGAGTGGGGCTTTGGCATTTTTCTTAGGGGGGAAAGCGCTTGGTTGGTTGGTTGATTCTCTTTGAATCTCACATGTGTACGGTGTCAGGTCACAAAATGTCCCTGCATGCCTCGGTGGCTCTTAATATTTGGCCCTGCAGTGGCACACTGATGAAAATGTCTGAACCCCTTCCACCTAACAGATGCACAGAAATAAAGTCTTGCGTGAACTTTGGAAGGACTGCCGTCCCATCACAGCCTACCCGTGGACTGGGTTTACAAAGCCCTGTTGGAGGAACAGGACGGACGTTGTCATTGTCATTTCGCAAATCAGAAACGGGACTGAGAAAGTTGAAGGGACTTGCCCAAAGTCACGTGACCAGGAAGAAGTGGAACAAAAGCCACCTCACAAGGCAGCAAACAGCCAGTCTCTCTCCATGATGGGCACTCAGAGGCGGCTTTGCCCCGAGGAAGACTCTGTCTAGAAGCCAGATGCTCTGACCCTCAAAGGATGTCTGTCTGCCCAGAGGCAAGGCAGGCAGGGAGCTGGTTTTCCCCTGGCTCTGTGTGTTCTGTTGTTGTCTGATGCTGTCTTTTTAGGACGTCCATCCAAATGCCCAGATTTTGTGCCCTGACCTCATGTGGACAATAGCCACAGATTGTTGGCCATGCCAGGGCTGGGTGAGGCACAAACATGTCCACTCCCACCCCAGGCATCCCTGTTCTAGATTGGACTCTGCATGGAGTAAGCCATTCTCTGATGTGGGGAGGGGCTGTTTTCTAAGGGAAATATGAGAAGAGGGTTGGGGCAGAGGAGGGCAGCAGGGGTGCAGGGAGGAAGCTTCCAGAAGTGTCGAGGTGAAAGTGTGGGAGCTGAGAAAGGTTCACATGCCTGTCACTCATTCGTGACCAGGGCTGAGAACTCAGTAGCTGCATTTCCTGTGTCAGCTCAGGTGTGATCTTGCTGACATTCAACAATGAACCTTTGTCCCAGGGAAATGCGCCCCGTCAGCTTGTCTGGGTAGGGTCGTCTCCGAGGTTACTGCACAAGAATTTTGTCTTGTGACCTAGGGGCTGTGGAATCTAGTTCCAGCTCCGCCACTAATTCACCCGCATCGTTGGACTGTTTTCTCAATGGTACAATGATGGAGTTGGACTAAATCAGAGGTTTTCGATCTGTTTCTTGGACCCTGAGAGCTCCACAAAGAAACCTACCTGGGCTGCCTTCAAGACAGCACAGAGGTGACATGGACTCAGATGTTACCGATTTATAAATTGGGGTTCTATCCAGTGTAAAAAGCATGCTGCTCCTGCTGTGGTCAATGTGGCTCAGTTGGTTGGAGCATCATCCCATAGACCAAAAGGTTGAGGGTTCAATTCCTGGTCAGGGCACATACCCAGGGGGCAGGTCCCATCCCCAGCCAGGGTGCGTACAAGGGGCAGCTGATTGATATTTCTCTCTCTCTCTTTCTCTCAGCAATGAACACATGTCCTCAATGAGGATATATTTTTTTTTAATTTTAAAAAAGCATTCTGCTCTCTAAAATTAAAAAAGCAAACAAACTGGATTATAATAATGGCTGCCGTTAAGCCAGCCCTTTGATGCCCAAGGCATATCGTCCTTAAGCTCACAGAGAGTAGGCGCACTATCCCATTTGAAGACGTTTCTGATAAGAATAAGTGCTTCTATGTATTATATTAATTTACTTCAATTAAAATAAAACAAAAGTGAAATTAATTTTAATATTGTGTTTGATTTATCCCAATCAGAAATATGAGTATTTAACATGAATCAATATACAAATTATTGAACATATTCACAAAAACCCATTTTACAGGTGAGAAATGGGGGAAAACAAGGCATTCGGTGTGTGTTAACAAGGCCACCCGGCTGAGACGCGAACCTAGGCGGTGCGCTCCCCGCCCCTTACACGCTCACTCAGGGTCTGCTCCGTTTGAGACGGTGCCTTCCAGCTAAATGGTTGTCGTGCATTAAACAGTTACTGCGTGAACACTGCGCGGCAAGCAGGCTCTGTACAGGGCTCGGAAGACCCCAAAACTGCGAAGGCTCAGTCCCGGCCCTCGGCAGGCGGTGTGGCCTCTGCCAAGCAGTTTAACACCTCTCAGCCTCCGTTATGAAACGACAGTAACCGCACTTCTTATGTCACAGAATCCTGTGGATGGCATTTGACTGTGGCTGCGAAAAAATATTCTGTAAAATTTAAATTCCATACAAATGTTGGTCAGTGCAACTATCAGTCTGGTTGGAGACAAGACTAACTGATGCAGAACCAGCTGCAAGACGTGCAGGTAAGGCTGGGAGCTTGTTTTGTGACCAGGGTCGGGGAAGACTTCCCTGGACAAAAGATGGGCCCAGAAGGAAGGTGAGGAAGGCAGGCGCGTCGGTGAAAGGAACCTCGGGGCAAAGGTTCAGGAAAGCAGACTACCTGGGGGACTGGCGAGGGGACTGGCGAGGCACCAGGCAAGCAGACTGAGGCTGTCAGCAGTGGCTGTTGGTGGCGGCACCGTCCCATAAAGATGTAACACAAGACCATGTCATTTAAGATCTTCCAGTAACCACATTAAAAAATAAATAAAAAGAAACAGGCAAGATATTTAGCCCAATGTATCCAAAATATCATCATTTTTTTTACTTGTAATCAACAGAAAAAGTTATGAATGAGATATTTTACACTGTCTTTTCCATACTATCTTTGAGATCTGGTGTGTATTTTACGCTAAAGGTACATCTCAGTGCAGACTCACCACCTTGACAGCGTGGCTATGGACAGAACTGGAGTCCAATCCCAGTGCCCAGGTTTAAATAACCAGGTCATCCGGGGCCAGGTGCAAATGAGGGCTAGCTGTCCCCAGGGTCAGGCTCTCATCTAAATACGTTTTGTATATTAATTCATTTAAGCCTCATGAATTGTCTGTAAAAACGGGTTATCATGGTTATCCCCATTTTACAGATAGGGAGCCCATAGCGCTCCCAGTTCCTAAGCCTCCTTCCTCCATAAGATGAGGGTAAGCACACCCTGGAGGTCCTTGTGAGGAGAGACTTGAAAATCCTCTGAAGGTCCCCTTACCACACACACCGTGAAACCACCCATTCAGGAAGCCACAGGTCTGTCTGGTCCCAACTTCCCCTCCCTGAGCACTGGAGCCAGACAGGGTACAAAATTTAAATGGGCCCCAAAATAATTATAATAATTCTGTTTGGAGTGTAAATAAAAGATTCAAACTTTATTCAATAAAGTTATGAGGTTTTTAAAAATATTTTATTTATTTACTTTTTAGAGAAGGGAAAGGAAGGAGGGGGAGAAAATCATTGATGTGCAAGAGAAACATGGATTGATTGCCACTCGTGCGCCCCCAACTGGGGACCTGGCCAGCCACCCAGGCAGGTTCCCTGACTGGGAATCAAACTAGTGACCTTTTAGTTCTCAAGCCGGCACTCAACCCACTGAGCCACACCAGCCAGGGCAAATGTCCAAATCGGATACATCCTATTAATTACTATAATGCCTGCTTAATCTGTCAACCTCTGAGAATGGGAGGCTAAAATTACTCAAAATTCAGTTTCATTTCAATTGGACCTCACACACATTCATTGAGCTGCGGTTGTGTAGCAGGCACTATTCTAAGCCCTTATATCAGTGGAGAAAAGGGTCAGTATGTTGACCTCATGGAACTTAAATTCTAGGGGAACAAACAGACAATGAACAATAAATACAATAAATAGGTAAGTTATGGAGGGCAAATTATATGTTAGAAGGTGATAAGTGCTATGAAAAAAAATAGAGTGAAGGGGACCACAAGAGCAGGAGGGTGGTGAGTTGCGGTATTTAATAGTGTGGTAGGGTAGATAGAAAAGGTCAAATTTGAGCCCCCAATTGAAGAAGGTAAGAGACTGAGCCGAGCATGTGTCTAGGGAAGGAGTCCAGGCAGAGGGAACAGCCAGTGCGAAGGCTCTTGGGTAGGAGTTTGGATCCGTCAGAAGGCCGGCCTGGCTCACGCTGATTGACCGGCGGAAGCATGGTAGTAGGGGGGTCAGAGAGGTAATGGGGACTTTACCCTGAATGAAATGGGACCTACACAGGTTTGGGACAGTGGTATGATCTGACCCATTTTTAAAGGATCACATTGGCTATTGTGTTGAAATTAGGCTCAAGATGGGTCTGGCTAAAAGTAGGGAGCCCAGTTAATATTGCAGGCAACTGGGTAAGAGATAATGCCTGATTTTGAAAAGCCTAAATTAGATCAACGCCTTGATCTACTTCCTGAATAAAACCTCAAGTCTGCTCATTTCTCTCTTGGCTTGTGTTACTGTCATTCACAATTGTACTCCCACTTCGTTTTGTTGTTGTTTTTTTTTTAAGATTTTATTTATTTATTTTTAGAGAGAGGGGAAGGGAGGGAGAAAGAAAGGGAGAGAAACATTGATCTGTGAGAGAAACATCCATCAGTTGCCTCTCACGTGCCCCCTACTGGGGACCTGGCCCATAACCCAGGCACGTGCCCTGACCAGGAATCAAACCCACAACCTTTTTGTCTGTAGGCTGGGGCTCAACTCACTGAGCCACACCAGCCAGGGCTCCACTTTCTTTTTATACCCTCCAAATCAGTCAATTATTATTATTATGGCCTTATGCACACATTTTTAAATTTTACTTGTATATTTATCAACTTGCTTGTTCACAATTTCTTCTTGCCCCGCTGTGAAGAATTTCCATCTCCTGATGGTGTATCCTGTAGATACTCCTTCGGCTAAGGCCTGTTAGTGGACAATTCTATTTATTTTTTTCTGATATAGAATCTATATTATATTTTTTCCACTCCCATTTAGTCCCTCATTCTATTTCTATTCCTTTATTCTGAGTGATAGTTTAGGTTTTTTTTTCCCTTTATCTTCTGGGTACTATTGTGGCTATTGGGAAATCTGCTTCTAAATGTAATTACAATTCCCTTTCAGGTACAGCCTCTTTCTGATAGCTTTTAATTTTTTCTCTTCGTCTTTGGTATTCTGGAGTTTTATTATGGTATCTGTAAATGATCTGTAAGTGTAGAATTGCTTTGTTTCCAAAATTCTGCTTGGAGTTCACTGGTTGCTGACTCTGAAGAGTCACCTCCAAAAGAATTCTGGACAATTCTCCACAATCATCTCTTGGAATACTCTGCCTCCCCAGTGCCCGCTGCCACTTCTATGATTCCCTTTTGAAACTCCATTTGGAGCTATTTAAACTTTTCATTTGATCCTTCGTGTCTCGTGAGCTCTTTCATGTTTTCCATCTCTTCATCTCCTGGTGCTGCATCCTGAGAAAGCCCTTCGGATCTGCCTTCCAGATCAATGCCTTTCAACAAGTGTTTGGTGCTCTTTAACCTGCCCCTACGGATTTCTTTTTTCAATGACTTTATTTTTCACTTCCAATGTTATACTTGATTCTTTTTCACATCTGCCCAGTCGCTCATTATGTATTCTAGTTTTTGATTCCTTACGTTTAATAATATTAAACATTTTTAAAAGATTTTATTTATTTGTTTTTTTAGAGAGGGAGAAAGAGAGAGAGACATCAATGCGTGGATGCTTCTTGTGCTCCCTCTACTGGGAACCTGGCCTGCAACCAGGCATGTGCTCTGCCTGGGAATCCAACTGCCAACCCTTTGGTTTGCAGGCCAGCAGCACTCAATCCACTGAGCCACACCAGCCAGGTCTAATATTAAACATTTTGATAACATATACCCAAGAATTATATGAAGTTCCTGGGAGTCTAATTCTACTGTCAGACGTTTCTGCTAACTCTTGTTCATGTTTCCTTATGCATTTTGTAATTTTGCATTGTGAGCTCAAATTCCACAAGCCTTTATACAGGACCTTTATGTATAGTTTGTGGAACTCTTGTGTGACCTGGATAGAAATCGTATTCCTCTAGAGAAATTTTGAGTTTACTTTGTAATAGTGATATCTAATAACGCCCCATGTAGTATTTAGGTGATTTATTTTTTCTCAATATTTAAAATATACTTATACTAAAAAGTGACTAATTACCTGACATTCAGATTTATCTGGTCTCCTATATTGTATCTGGCAACCCTACTGGTGTGAAGCCAAAGTCTTGTCTCCCATCTCTAAATAGGTGTTTAAACTTCCACAACTTACCAAAACTGGCACACAAAAAAACAAAACACCAATGCAACACAACAACAACAACAAAACCCCTCCACCTTATCATTCTAGATTCTGTTTTTTCTTGGTTTTGATTTCCTCTTGGTTTTTGACCACTGGAAATTTACCTTACTTTCAAAGGGAAGTCTTAGGATTAGTCTGTTTGAAAATAAAAGGCCAAAAAGTTTGCAGGCCACTTCTGCTTCTTGACTTCCCACATACCTCTCCTAATGCAACCCATACAGACCTGGGCCCCCATTAGAATGGAGAAAAAGTGAAACAGAGAAGAACGAAATACAGATTGCTATTTTAACACAAGGATCTGCACAGATAGAAGGTTGGCTAGAGTCAGTGGTCACGTGAGGTCCTTATTGTGCTGGCTGAAAAAAATTCATTTCCTCTTCTCATTGTACCCCAGTAAAGACTTCTTGGCAAGTCCAGCAGAACCTGAAGGACTCATTCCATGGAGAGATGCTCGGTGATGAAGGCAGCCAACGGCTCCAAGAACGGCTCGGATTTCAACCCCATGAAGGATTACATGATTCTGAGCAGACAGCAACAGATCGCTGTCGCGGTGCTGTGCACCCCCCTGGGCCTGCTAAGTGCCCTGGAGAACCTAGCTGTGCTCTACCTGATCCTGTCCTCCCAGCGGCTCCGCAGGAAGCCCTCATACCTGTTCATTAGCAGCTTGGCTGGGGCTGACTTCCTGGCCAGTGTGGTCTTTGCCTGTAACTTTGTGAATTTCCACGTGTTTCATGGCGTGGATTCCAAGGCTGTCTTTCTGCTGAAGATCGGGAGCGTGACCATGACCTTTACTGCCTCTGTAGGCAGCCTGCTGCTGACCGCCATTGACCGCTTCCTCTGTCTGCGCTACCCACCTGCATACAAAGCCCTAGTCACCCGTGGGAGGGCACTGGTGACCCTGGGCATCATGTGGGTCTTCTCAGCACTGGTCTCCTACCTGCCTCTCATGGGATGGACTTGCTGTCCCAGCCCCTGCTCTGAGCTTTTCCCTCTGATCCCCAACGACTATCTGCTGGGCTGGCTCCTGTTCATTGCCTTCCTCTTCTCTGGCATCATCTACACCTATGGGCACGTCCTCTGGAAGGCCCATCAGCATGTAGCCAGCCTGGCTGAGCACCAGGACAGGCAGGTGCCGGGAATGGCCCGGGTGAGGCTCGATGTGAGATTGGCCAAGACGCTGGGGTTGGTGCTGGCTGTTCTCTTCATATGCTGGTTCCCGGCACTAACCCTCATGGCCTACAGTGTGGCCACCACTCTAAGCAACGAAGTGAAGAAGGTCTTCGCCTTTTGCTCCTTGCTTTGCCTTGTCAACTCCCTGGTCAACCCTATCATCTATGCCCTACGGAGCAGGGAGATCCGTTCCTCTGCCCACCACTGCCTGGCCCGCTGGAGGAAGCACCTGAGAGGCCATGGGCTTGAAGGAAAAGAAGACGTCCCAAGGTCCTCAGTCACTGAGACAGAGGCTGATGTGAAAATCACCCCATGGCCAGATTCTAGGGGGTCTATCCTCTCTGGTTGCTGATGAGGCCTGTTTCAGAGTTTTAAACAAGCCAAGTCAGAAATCATTTCACTCCCTGGAAGAAAGAGAACAGTCTTCACCCTCTCATCCCACTGGAACCAGCCCCAGAGGCCTGAACACTTAAACTTCTTTGCTGATGAGCGTTGGCACCGACCCCTGGAGCGTAGCCTGCTTGTGCCTATCTGCACACAGTCTGCTGGACAGCTAGGTCCCGTGAGGAGTGGCAAGGCGAGCAGGAGGAAAGACTCCTGGGACAGGCTCAGCACACGTCAGGTCAGGAAAGTCTTCTCAATAAGATGGCCCAGTGCCCGCATTCTCCAGAGACCACGGGACCCAGAGGGAGCCTTCAAGCTCAGCAATGAGGGGCTCAGAGAAAATGTGAGAAGAATGGCTTATTCTCCTGGGATCTCAGGGTACAGGTCAATGGCTGGCCAGCTCTTATTCCTGCTTAATTGTCTGGGCCTTTTTGATTCTGGGTCACCCTTGTTCACTGAGGACCTTTTTAAGTCACCGTACCCCGCTGAGGACCAAGAACTGTGATGTAATGAAAACCACAGGTGTTGGTCCACCTCGTTCGGAAGTAACTGACAGCCCTCCACTTAAAGGCGTCTTATTAGGGCAGTGGCCCTCCTGGACCACTGAGAATCCCCACTCATGGCTGCTGTGACCGCTTAGGTCTCTGGGGAATATGGCAGCTGGGATCACTGGAGACACAGGATCTTCAGAGAATTTTCTTGACTCCATGAAGTGCTATGTGGTGGCACCATTGGAAGCAGGCTGTGTCCCTGTCTAACTGAACTCCAAGAAGAGGAAGATATTCCCAAAGATTTTATACATCCCCCAACCGCTCTCCTTTCAGGCCCTTCTGTCCCCTCCATACCTCTAAGGACAACTAAGAAACAGAGCAAGTAGGAAGAGGGGGAAGCGCCTTTACTATGTGCTAAGCACAGGGCTGACAACCCACAGTCCATTATCTCCAGCAAGATTACAGCCCCAGTGCTTTTGAAAATCCCAGGACACTATATTTTACATATCAGGGAGGGGCTTAAAACAGGCGGGCAGATTGCAGGAATTCTAATGCAGTTATTTGGGACTAAAGACAGAATAAAAGGAAAGAAATTATTAAATACATCTTCATTTAATACTTTATAAGACGAGGTGTCTGCTATTCATTAACTCTTTCACCCATCTCCTAAATACATGCCAGGGTGTGTGCTAGGTCCTGGATGTTCATAAATAACACTCTTCCCCATCTAATGGGGTTTACATTCTCCATTCTGGTGGGGAGAGAGAGCCAATAAATAAATAAGTGATTTCAGGTAGTACAATGAAAAACATCGTTAGGACCAAGTGATAGGGATTAATTGAGGCAGGATAGACCTACTAGGTGCTCTTGAGTCTTTACTATGTGCCAGGCACTGGGCTAAGTGCTATTTAAAAAAAAAAAAAGGTTTTGTTTATTCGATCATTTGCCTCTCGCATGTACCCCAACCAGGAACTGAACCTGCAACCCAGGCATGTGCCTGACCAGGAATCAAACCAGTGACCTTTCACTTTGTGGGGTAACGTCCAACCCACTGAGCCACACTGGTCAGAGCGTGGGCTATGTACTTTCAAGTGAGGTATTTCACTTGGTCTTTACAATGACCGTCCTCATTTTACAGACGAGGAAACCACTAAGAGGCAAAATCACTTGCCTGAGGTCACACTGCTAATATGTACCCGAAGCTGGGCTTTCCAAGCCTGTTCTGTCTGACTCTGAAGCCTGCCCTCTTGACCACTACCCTCTTGACCTCCTTCAGTCAAATTCAATTTGATTAGAAGTAATGTTCAACTTCTGTAACCTTACATTTACAGATTGCACCCTGGCTGGTCTGGCTCACTGGGTTGAATGCCAGCCTGTGAACCAAAGGGTCACTGGTTTAATTGCCAGTCAGGGCACATGCCTGGGTTTCGGTCCAGGTCCCCAGGAGGGGATGTGCCAGAGGCAACCACACATTGATGTTTCACTTCCTCTCTTCCTCCCTCCTTTCCCCCCTCTTCAAAAATAAATAAATAAAATGTTTTTTTAAAGCTTACCAATTGCTGCAACCTTAAATCATCATTATTTCTCAATGTACTTCCTTTTATGCCCTGTATTACTTTCCTGCAATAATTTTCCATAAACCGAGTGCCTTAAAACAACAGAAGTTTATTCTTTCACAGTTCTGAAGACTAGAAGTCTAAAATCAAGGTGTTGACAGGACCATGCTCCCTCCAGAGGGTCAAGGGGAGGATTTTTTCTTGTCTCTGCCAACTTCTGGCAGCTCCTGGTGTTCCTTGGTTTGTGGCAACGTAACTCCGCCCTCTGCCTTAATCTTCACATGGCTTCTCCAACCCCTTTGTCTCTTTGGTCTTCTTTTAAGGACACCAATCACTGGATTAAGGCACATCCTAACCCAGTATGATCTCATCTTAATTAGACAAGTGACATCTACAAAGACTCTATTTCCAAATAAGGCAACATTCACATGTTCCAGGTAAACATGAAGTTCTAGGGGACACTACTGAACCTAGTTGAAATGGCATACATTTTTAAAGGTAAATTTGTGGTTATTTAAATTGGGGGCATGCATTTCTTCATTCATTGGTGGGTTCTTTTTTCATTTTAGCAAGGGAAATTCTCAAATGCATGGCATGAATTGATACTCAGTTAATATTTCTTTAATAAATACAAAATTGCCCTGGCTGGCGTAGCTCAGTGGATTGAGCGCGGGCCCGCAAACCAGAGTATCACGGTTCGATTCCCAGTCAGGCCACATGCCTGGGTTGCAGGCCAGTTCCCAGCAGGGGATGCATGAGAGGCAACCAACCATACATTGATATTTCTCTCCCACTCTTTCTCCTTCCCTTCCCCTCTCTCTATAAATAAATAATTTTTAAAAATAAATAAATAAATACAAAATTTACAGCCCTGGCTGGTGTGGTTTAGTGGACTGAGTGCCGGTCTATGACCAAAAGGTCATCGGTTCGATTCCCAGTCAGGGCACATGCCTGGGTTGCAGGTCAGGTCCCTGCTTGGGGGCGGCATTCAAGAGGCAACCAATCGATGTCTCTTTCATACATCAATGTTTCTCTCCCTCTCTTAAAAAGAAAAAAAAGGAATTTAGAAATCATTGCATTAAATGCACTTTCTCACTTTCTACTCTTCTCCTGTCCACACTTTCTACTTTTCTCCTTTCATAATCTCTTATTTAGGCTCTAAGTAAAGCACTAGAGTTTATGAAGGAAGAGAGTAAGGGAGCAAGGGAACTTGGATGTCACTGAGAACTACCCGCATTGTTTAAATGAGGAAACAGGCCAAGGCTGTGGACGAGACTTGCCCAAAGAAACCCCACAAGGTAGTGTCCAGTGCTAGAAACCCAGGTCTCCCAACTTCAGTACTGTCCGCTCTGTCACGCCTTTCACCTGCTCCTACAGACTTGCATTTTGGTTATGAGGTTGTTGACCTTTAACAAATAGACAGCCAGCTATTTCTCCAGCAAAATGGGTTTATTCAGGAACAACAAAGAATTGCAATTCAGGACCCGTGGCTTAACGGTAAACCATGCTCAGGTCCAGAGAGAAACAAAGGAGAGGGCTGCTCTTTGATGGACTTCAGAGAGCCCGCTGTAAATGAAGAGTCCACTGGAGGAAACCAAAAGTTTGGAGTTCAGTGACTTTTCATTGACTGAGTTATAGCAGTCTCCCATTGGCTGAGCCATAACAGGGCAAGGAGGAATCTTCCCTTTCTCATGCTCAGGTAGTAACGTACAATAGGATCACCTCTTATTGTAGATGCAAGGTATGTCTCTTCCTATGGGGTTAATAGTCTGGGTTGAGTGACATGTAAGAGTTCTCTCTTCTGGCCTCCTATTCCATTTTAAAAGAAGTTTCTGTTTATTAATTTTCACAAGGTGAAGGAGAAACGAAGGTCACAGTGTCCCATTACATCTTCCCCAAGGTGAGTTCTGTATTATCAAAGACCATTACTCTGATTGTTATAAAGTGTGTGAAGGTGGGGTTTGTTTTTTTAAGGTGTCTGTGCTTACTGTTTCATACAATATTTCAGCATAATCTTGCAGAGGGAGGAAGAAACACGGAAGATGAGAAAATAGCTGTTTATTCAGCAACCGCCACTGCATTTCCTTATCACTGCTGGGATGAGGAAGTGCTTGGTTCTGTCAGCATAGGCTCTGACGCCTCCTGGGGTGCAAGAGAGCAGCAGCATGGAGAGAGGCACAGGCTCCACCCCTGAAGACCTGGGTTCTGGTCCCACTTCTGACCCCAACCAGCTGCATGGTCTTGAGCACCTTCCATCTCTTCTCTGGGTCTCAGTTTCCTCCTCCCTAAAATGTAAAGAGTAGGAAAGAGGATTGTGTAGAGGATTTCCAAAGTCCCTTTCAACCCTGACATACTGCAGTACTCTCACTGATATGTGGGGACTGGCTTTGCCACTTGGGGCCACTTTGCCTCCCACACCTGATGGCCTCACTTCCTGTGTGAGCATGCCCAGTATGTAGAAATTGTGGGGGATTTGGTGACCACCCTGCCAGGTGAGGTTCACACAGGTACCACTAGGGCCTGGGGCTCTTTGTTTTGTTTTGTTTTAATTTTTTTCAATTACAGTTGACATTAAATATCATTGTGTATTATTTTCAGGAGTATAGATAGCATAGTGGTTAGACAATTGTATAATTTACAAAGTAGTCCCCAAATAATTTCAGTACCCACCTGGGGACCATACATAGTTGTTACAATATTATTGACTATATTCCTATGCTGTAGGTCATGGGGCTCTTAATTTTTCTTACCCTACTCTAAAAACGTTCCTTTGTGGTGGCTTGTATGTACATCGGTCTTGTTGTGCCAATTAGATATTAAGCTCTTTGAATGGCTCCAGAATTCCCAAAGCAAGTATTAGGCAGGCAAAATGGTCACACCTGCTCTTCCTCTTTCAGCACCCACTGTTCCCCCTCCTTTTCCTTCATAATACGTATACCATCATTTTTCTACTTCGTTATTTCTACCTGGACTGCTACAATGTCATTGCATCTGGGATTCCTGCCTCCAGGCTTAGTCTTCTGTACTACAGCTTAAAAAGTCCCCTATGGCTCCCAACCGCAAAATGCACTTACTCCCAGTTCTCTGCACATATCGGGCCTTCCACAGCCCCACGATTTAACCCCGCCAAGTCTCTTCTGAAGTTTTTCTAAGACCATCAGCGAAGCGCTGTCTGCGCCCCCTGGTGTCTTTCTCTCTTTAAGCGCCGGAGGGCGCGACAAATTCGGCGGACTGGAAGGGATGGGACTCTGTAGCGGAAAGGCGGGGGATGACCCGCCCCTTTTTCCTTCCAAGCCAATCACTATTTAGAGTGGGCGGGGCCTCGCGCCGGCCCCAGCGCCTGCGCGTTAGAGGGAATGGTGGAGACGGTGAGGTGGTGAGGTAGTGAGGTGAAAAGGTGGGAAGGCGGAGATGCCATCTCCCGAAATGAAGTCGCGGGCGGTGGAGACCCAGCTTCTCCTGCTGCTGTTGGTTCTCGGAGCGGCCCAGTCGGCGCTCGGGGCTCCGCACCTCTACACTCCGGACTGGCCGAGTCTGGACTCCCGGCCACTGCCGGATTGGTTCGACAAAGCCAAGTTCGGGGTGTTTGTGCACTGGGGCGTGTTCTCGGTGCCGGCCTGGGGCAGCGAGTGGTTCTGGTGGCACTGGGAGGGTGAGGGATCGTTGCAGTACCAGCTTTTCATGAAAGACAACTACCCTCCAGGCTTCAGTTACGCTGACTTCGGGCCGCAGTTCACTGCGCGCTTCTTCGACCCAGACGACTGGGCCGACCTCTTCCAGGCTGCCGGGGCCAAGTGAGTGCCGCTGCGGGTGCCGGCGGAGCGCCTCCTCCCGGGATCAGAGCAGTGGGACGGGGGTTCGGCAGGTGGGAGCCAAGCTGGGGCGACTCGCGCAGGCTCACACAGCAGTCTGTCAGACTTAAGATACCCCCAGGTCATGTGTTTTGTCCCCTGAAGGATGCAGAATTGAAGGTGGCATGCCTGATCATAAGGAGAAGGTGCGTCTGGGTTGAGGATTAGAAGAAAATAAAATTTTCAGGGAGGTGGTGGGCGGGAAAGCCTTCAGTGTCAACACCTGTGTATTGAGAGGATGGAGCTAGGTGATGCCGCAGGTCGACAACTCTATCAGGATTTTAAGCAAGTGGTATGGAGTGTGATCCTAGTTCAGCTGTGAACTTCAACACAACATTTCACCTCCCTGCAGCCCTCTTCCAAGGCTACAGAAAGGAATTGTACTAGTTCCTTTCAGTTTTAATATCTGTGAGCGAGACTGGGAAGGGAGTCCTGGCGTGCAATATTTTAGGGCAACAGTACAGATTCTCATTCATCTGCTCTTCTCACGAAGAGTCCTCGTACATGAAAGCACTCAGACGTTTGAATTGTTTTGGGAACTGTTGGAGCTCTCGTGTGAACGCATAGAGAACTGAAAGTATAGCGAGCTGAGGTGGGGAGGAGAGAGACAAGGACCCTGCGGTTGTTGAAGGCTGGGGCCAATCTTGAATGAGTGCTGATCCTTGAGGGCAGTATGTGGCCAGGTGTTAAGTCAGGGAATAGTTACCCTTAGCTTCTAGCAGGATTAGTTTGGCTGCTGGGAGGGCCGTGGGTTGGAGAAGAGTAAGAATGGAGACAGGCAGGTCTTCTGGCTCCTGGCTTGGAGGAACCTTTGACCCTTGTCTCTTCGGTCATCTTCCAGATTTTAGTTCCTCTTGGGCTTTAAGATTTCTCGTAGTAAGCAATTACAGTGACACTTAGTGTATGGGAATATAAGGCTGGAATAAACAGAGGGGGTGTGCTCTATCTTCTAGGAGCCTTAGAGATCCATAATTCAAAATCAGGAAAAAACATTCTCTGTTCAGGCCTCTTTTCAGGGACCAGGTGACCGGCCTAGGTAGAGGAAAGGAACTGATGTCCAAGTCTCCAGACCTCACCTCTCCAAGGTGAAGGTTCTTTCCCATACCAGAGGTTTTGGACATGGCCAGAGGGATTGGTCCTCTGCCTGTTTTTGTAAGTTCCATGAGATGAGAATGATTTTTACATTTTAAAGATTTTATTTGTTTATTTTTAGAGAGAGGGGGAAAAGAGGGAGAAAGAGAGGGAGCAAAACATCCAATGTGTGAGAAATACATGGATCAGTTGCCCCTCACACTGGGGACCCGGCCTGCATCCAAGCATGCAACCTGCAACCCTGACTGGGAGTCAAACTGGCAACCTTTCAGTTCAAATGCCAGTTTGCAGGCTGGCGCTCAGCCACCAAGCCACACCAGCCAGGGGGATTTTTACATTTTAAAAGCATTATGGCCCACAAAGCCTGAAATACTATCTGGCCCTTAAAGTCTTAGAGCGCCCCCACTAGCCAGTGACTAAATTATCTCAGGGTTTGTTCCCCCTGGCCATAAAAGCAGATGACATATTGAGTCATTTAACAAGCAAATGACATAATTTGGCAGTTATTCCAACCCGTGTCTTTCTCCCCAGCTCATTTAGACTTTTGTCACCTCTGTAAATGAGAGGCAATTCATGTGGGCTTGGTAAAACAAATGGCTTACTTTTTTATCATCTGCTATTTCCTGTAGAGGTTTCTTTCTTCTTTAGAGCAAAGACTTAAGAAAAGCTAACAGCCCTGACTCGTGTGGCTGAGTAGGTTAACCATCATTCCCACAAACCAAATGTTGGCAGGTTCAATTCCCAGTCAGGACACATGCCTGGGTTGCTGGCCAGGTCCCTGGTCGGGGGCGTGTGAGAGGCAACCAATCAATGTTTCTCTCCCTCCCTCCCTCTCCCTGCCTTTCCCTCTCTCTAAAAAATAAATAGAGGTGTTTTTTTTTTAAAAAAAGAAAAGCTCATCATTAATTCCCAGAAGGGTTGAAGAAGGAGAGCTGAGGTGCTCATCTTTTCCTGCTGGGCTTCCTCCTGGGCTGGGGACTAGGGACTGTGGCCTCTACGGAAGTTTGCTTCCATTTCTGGAGCAATGACCATGGGGGGCTGAGACTGCAGCAACTCACGTTTCCTGTAGGCGAGTATATGGATGTTGACGTGAACAAACCGAATCCATCTTTGTAAGCCCCCCACTCTCTCATTCAAGCTTTAACTTTGACCAAGCTCACTGTTCCTGGCCAGCACTCCCAGGCCTTGTAGTTAATGACTGCTGTGTTCTGTAAGCCTGTACAACGTAATCATCCAGATTCCGGTCAGTAAGCGTCCAGAATGGCACAGCAGCCCCAACAGACATCAAAGCAGGTGTCAGCGTCAATGCTAAGCAATTATCCACTGTAAGACCACTAGGGGGCAGGGTTCCTGGCTCATGCTGCGTTCTTCGCCGCTTGGCCTTGTCAAGCATGACTAGTTCAACTACATGGTAAGACATTTACTGTAGTAACTACAGCAGTGGAGAATGAGCCGCGCAGAACCGCCAGGGTTGCCCACCCACTCCGACCCTACATCCCTGTGAGTAAACTACCCTAAAATAAGTTCTGTTACATTCTGAGGAGTTGTGCACTTTGTCGTGTTTTGTTTTGTTTTGTCTTAAGACAGCTTTTCAGTCTTAAGCTGGTGGTCACTGTACCTCCGTTCCATGTTCAGAGAGCCAGTTCCAACCATTTCCAAGGCCTCGATCATGCTGGATAGGTTCGTGTTCGTGGCCCACTGCCCACTTCCTCTGCTCATATGGTTTTGATGTCCACAGGTATGTAGTCCTGACAGCAAAGCATCACGAAGGCTTCACAAACTGGCCAAGTCCTGTGTCTTGGAACTGGAACTCTAAGGATGTGGGGCCCCACCGAGATTTGGTTGGTGAGCTGGGAACCGCCATCCGGAAGAGGTGTGTGTCCGCAGACGGTTGATCCATCATTGCTTTTGATCTGGCAGCCGTCCGCCATGCCCTGCCTTCTCCACTCTTGGGTATTTTTGAAATTTTCATTTAGTGAGGAACCTGAGGGGCTTCTGGCCTTGGAATTAGCAGAGCTTGATGCTTGACAGTTTTTATGTGACCAAAGGTGACACCATCAGAGAAACTCCTGGCTCTGTCTGGCTGGGGGAAGGATACCCAGCATAGACCACAAGGGCCCATTTGTACTCTGAGGAGGATACTTTTTGGAAAGCCTTCTGACCCAGGCCCTTTTCCAGTGTCCGATGGACGCCAGGGACTGGGTCTGTCATCTTTGTGTCCCACTTAGTCATTAGCACAGATCCTTGTAGGCATGGGGATGGGGGTGGGGCAAATGATAGATCAAGAGGGAGCTGAAAAGGGCAGTTAAAGCAGCAAAAAGTAAGGTAAGCAAGCCACTGGGTTGATTCTGGTTAATGTTCCCTAATATTTGACACTAAGAAGTGCCTTCCCAAGATGGAAGGGCTAGGAAGTGGCAGTGGTGGGATTTAAAATCGGGGATTCTGGTTGTAGGCCCCACAGTTCCAGGTGTGTCTGCCTGGAAGGAGAAGAGGCGGTACTTGTCCAGTCTCAGCTCTGTTGTGGTTTGGTAAACTCGATGTCCTACTGAAGGGGTGGGCCCGCTGCCTGTGTGTGTGAATGAAGTTTGATTGGAACGTGGCCATGACCATTCACTTACATGCTGTCCGTGGCTGCCTCCATGTTACCGTTTCGGGGTTAGGACAGAGACCACAAGGCCTGCGAAGCCTAAAGTACTGCCTGACCCTTTAGGGAAGTGTGTGCTGACTCCTGCCCCCTGTGCAGTCCTGTTTCCCAGTGCTGTGTGTAGATAATTGTCCTGCTATAAACCTCTGAGGTGTGGATAAGGGTCAGACTCTCGGGAACTTGATTTTTATCTTCTCTGTATTTAGTTCCGGAGTCACATGGTGAAATAACTCACCCCAGCTCTGCCTGCCTGGTCTGTGCCGTTGCAGTGCAACTCCCTGCGGACTTGTCTCACAGGGTTTCTGTTCCTCTCACCAGTGTTAACTCCAGCAAGCTTTTTTTAAAATTTATTTTTAGAGAGCGGGGAAGGGAAGAAGGAAGAGTGGGAGAGAAACATCAATGTGTGGTTGCCTCTCATGTGTCCCCTACTGGGGACCTGGCCTGCAACCCAGGCATGTGCCCTGACTGGGAATTGAACCTGCGACCCTTTGCTTCACAGGCCTGTGCTCAGTCCACTGAGCTACACATTTCGCTTTGGGCATATGAAAAACTAATAGTCACATTAGATAAATAAAACAATAAACCTATAATCATTCCTTTCAACTACGTGGAAAATGTTACTAATGAATTTTTTTTGAGAGAGAAGATTTTGGATATGTTATTCTTTATGCTTTTCTCTATTTTTCAATATCACTACAATATGTACTCTTATGATCGACAGAGAGAAAATGTGTTTTTATTTAATGGTCTCTATGTTATTATTGAGATAATTGACTTAAAAGTTAAAAGATGGTTTAAATGGTATTTGATGTTAAGATATCTGTGTATAGCCCTGGCCAGGTAGCTCTCAGTTGGTTAGAGCATCGTCCCAATAGGCTACGGCTGTGGGTCTGGCCCCTGGTCAGGGCAGGTACAAGGACTGATCAATGAGACAGAGGGCAGGGTGACAACCACGGCAGTGATGGGGGAGGTTAGGGGGCGGAAGGATCAAGCAAAAAGGAAGAGGACTCATGGACGTGGACACCGGTGGTGATTGCAGGGGGAGGGGTTATAAGGGGGCTAAGTGGTAATGGGAAAAATACAATAAACACGTGTAAATAAATGAATAACCTCAGGAAAGTGGGGGAAATCAACCGATGAATGCATAAATGAGTGGAACAACAAACTGATGTTTCTCAAGTGAATAGATAAAAAAGTTTTAAAAAGTATTTGTATATAAAATGTAGTTATGCATACTATCAAAAATACAGTAAACCAATCATTTCGATGGACTGATAAGAGATCCTTGAATGGTTTTGAATTCCCCCTACATGCCCTCACGCAGGTGTGTCTCACTGAGGTGTAAAAATGCTGCCACTGATGTTTCGTAAAGTAGACTGTGTTCTCTTTGCTACGTACGTGACAGCTGCTATCCTGTTTTTCGGTTTAAGGAACATGCGCTACGGCCTCTATCACTCGCTCTTCGAATGGTTCCATCCACTCTACCTACTCGATAAGAAAAACGGCTTCAAAACACAGTATTTTGTCACTGCAAAAACAATGCCAGAGCTATACGACCTTGTTAACAGGTAACACACAGGAATATTTTGGGGCTAGGGCTTTTCTAAATAAAATCAGAGCTCTCTCTAGGGTACTGTACTGTTGGGGGGAGAGAAGTCAGGGTGGAGGTGGAGCATGAGAAAAATCCAGAGGACATCAGAGCAGTGAAAGTGGTGGTTGTGTTGAGATAACATGTATTTCTCCTCCTGCTCTTCAGAACTTCTGTGATGTGGCCATATTACCTTTATAAATTGAAACACTCAAACAGAACCCTGGATGGTAGTAAGTCAGATCCCCCCTAAGGGGTCCCTTGGGGTGGGGGTGGGGGCCTGCCATTCTCTTTGTCAGGACCTAGAAGAGGCCACAGGTCCTGGCTGGGAGTTGCCCTCGAGCAGATTTGCATTTGAATCCTGGCTCCTGTTGCTTAAAAAGCCTTAAGCAGATCACCCATCTGAGCCCCAGATTCTCACTGTGCTGTGGAGATAATAATGCCTTCTTGTGGGGCTCAGAGTAATATGTGAAAAATATCTGTCACCGTGCCTCATATAGAGGGTTGTTATTATTATCGATATTCTTAAAGGGATCACTTTTACTTTGGGAGTTGTCTCTCCTTGTTTCATTCCTAGCTTGCCCCTCTCACACCTGGGGGCTGCTGGAGGACAAGGAGCAGCCCTTCCTGCCTGGGCTCTCACTTACAGAGGCCTCGGACTTGGACCGGCCTTGCAGCCACGTGGTGTCTCTAAGGAAACAGTTCCGCTTGTAAGAGACCAGCGGAGGCTTGGAGTCAGACAGAGCTGAATCTGGAATCCAGTTCTTTTTCCTGCTGGCTGTGTGGTCTTGACCAAACCACTTCATCTTCCTAGATCTCTGTTTTGTTTTTTTTTTTGCTTGCGAAATGGGGATGATTTACACCATAGGGTCATTGCAAGAACTAATGAGGCAATGAATATAAAATGCCAAGTACAGTTTCTCACACAGAGTGAAATCCAGATTATGTTATATTTTGCCTCTTAAATGGGCAGTCTTTTTCCTGGAGTTATTTGCTGTCATCATTATGGACATAGGAATTGGCAGCAGGCAGATTTACATTTGAATTCCAGCTCTTGTTTTCTGACAAGCTTTTTCACCTCAAACCAATTGCCCTGCTGAGCGTCAGATTCCTGCTCTCTGAGGTGGGACGAATGATGCGCACCTCACAGGTACACATTCACACTCACGCCTCAGGACTCAGTGATGACACGTGGAAGTGCGGCTGTGGCTCAGGTAGTTGTACAGACCCTTTGTGGTTGCAGCTCTGGGCTGTCCAAGGTACGCATTGGACACAATGGTCCAAACTCTTCATACATCCCCAAAGTAGAAACCTTAATCCTATAGTTCTGGAGCACCATTTTTTGAAAAAGATTTTATTTATTTACATTTAGAGAGAGAAAGGGAGGGAGGGGGAAAGAGAGGGAGAGAAACATCGGTGTGAGAGATACATTCATCTGTTGCCTCTCACATGCCACCCCCCCAACCAGGGACCTGGCCTGCAACCCAGGCATGTGCCCTGATTGGGAATCAAACTGTTGACCTTTGGTTCACAGGCCAGCACTCAGTCTACTGAGCCACACCAGCCAGGGCTGGAGCATCATTCTTTTAGTTGGAATTAGTCGCTGGAGGGAGACCGAATTGTATAATACCGATTACAACTCTACTTTTTAAAAAGTCATTAAAAAAAGATAAGGAGGAAATATTCCAAAATGCTGCGTATTCAACTGTGGTTCTGAGAGCAGAGGCATTTTTTTGTGTAAGTGGTGGCACTTGTCTCTTTCGTTTTCCACAATCTGTACCTTGTGGTGAGTCACGGTACTTCCAAAGTGGAAGAAAGTTAATTTTTAGTTATTCTTTTGCAGTCCTGACCGTACTGCAAAACACGAATCATAAGACTTCACTGCGAATGGATTCAGGCAGTGAGCCTTGTGGGAACTGCGGTGTCTTGCAGGTATAAACCCGACCTGATCTGGTCCGATGGAGACTGGGAAGGTCCCGACACCTACTGGAACTCTACAGGTTTTCTGGCCTGGCTCTACAATGACAGCCCAGTCAAGGTACGTGAGTGTATGGCTTCTCTCTTATTTATCTGCTGTGATAAAAAAAAAATGTAAAGAGACAAGCTCCATAGTGACGAGACCAGCAGCAATGATGCACAGCGATGTTCTCACAGGGTGCTGGGACCCAGGGACTTCGTGGGTGGTGAAGTCCTTTCACTTGTAATTCTTCCCCCTTCCTTTAAGTAGAAACTTTCTTTTTCTCCTTTAATTCTTGATTTTGACCACACAGGTTTAAATCTTGTTAAAAATTAATATACCAGACCAATAAAATTAAGTGATAGGCGTAAAATGCAAACATCTACAACTTCATCTACTCTTTGTTGATTACATAGTTTACCTCTCAAGGGGAAATTTTATTTCCTTTATGTCCAAATTCCTGAGGGAACTTTGTCTCCCTCCCCCATCCCCCGCCCACGCTGCACAGAGTAGCGGTCCTTCCGCAGTTCATGCTGCGGTGCTCGGCAGAGCAGCAGCACAAGTCCTAGTCCTCACTGTGGGGAATTTCAGAATGGTACACATTCTGGATTTGTCGTGGACCTAGAAAAATCTAAGTATAAGAACAGTTTGAATTAAGCCATCTTGGTAGGCTCGTAAACCTCTTATTGCGTAACTATTACTAAACTCAGAAAATGGGAAGAAAGGGAAAACAAAAGAGATCCTATGTGACAAATAGGGACACATTAAGAGTGGTTTTCTGGGACTTGCCAAATGCGTGGGGACTCTTAGTGGCACAGCGTCATGGTTCTCTGCCAAGGGTCCTCACACGGGGTGGCCAGGCTGTGGACCTCTGGGTGGGATGCTGTAGACAGACCCTGGTTCCCCACTCTTGTTCTGAATGCTGTCTTTTATTTTTAAATTTTTTTACTTATTGATTGATTCTAGAGAGAGGCATGATTTGTTGTTCCACCTATTTATGCCTTCATTAGTTGATTCTTGTATGGGCCCTGACTGGGGATTGAACTTGCAACCTTCGCTTACTGGGACAACACTCTAAACAACTAAGCTACCCAGCCAGGGCTCTGAGTGCCTTCCAATGCATTAGGAAAGACTGATATTATGGAGCAATAGTCACTTTAGGAAGGTATTTTTGGGAGAAACAGACCCTTCTCCTTACCATCCCCTCTGTCTGTAATTCCTGTGCTCTCTGCAGACCTTCACTCTCCCTCAGTGTAGTGCGGCCGCCCCTCCCGCCCCCCCCAGGGTTGCAGGGCACCCGTGGCGCCGCATGTCTTTCCCTGTCTGTCAGCACTCACCTGGTCTAACCTATTCCAGAGGTCGTTTACATTGTCTATTATGTCTTTCTCTCTCCGAAGTGTCAACTTTATAAGGGCAAGGGTTTGGGTCAGTCCATTGCTATCCCCAACCCTGAGAACAGCGTTGGCTTAGTTAGGCACATAATAATATTGATGGAATGTAAACCAAATCTGGCTCCTGACGACTTATGTTCTCTCCTGGAAGTGTTAGGGAACACCCTGGGCCGGGTTCTTCCATTTATGTGAATCCCTAGGCAGTGAACCCAGGTGTAATGTCATAATCGTCCACACATCTGTCTCCTCAGCTGGTTTCTGCTGGGTCTCGGAGGGCAAGAACTGTGTTTTATTCACCGTAGCGGCCCCAGCGTGAGCCTCCCAGTGGTGGGAAACATTTACATTTCTATATCCCCTGTAATGATTTCTCATAGTTCAGCTAAACCTTGAAGGGAGAAAAAGAATATTTGATTTTTGGCTTTCTTTACCTGAGTCAAGTAGGGGAAGTGTCCTGGGCCAGGCTCAGATACCTGATTCGCAGTCTCAGCTTTCCTAACCGGCCTGGGTAGGTCTTCTTGGGCAGGTCTTCTCTCCGGTTCTCCTCTAATAAAATAAGTGGATTACAAGATAATCTTTTAAATGGGCCGCCCTGGGGTTTCTCAGCCTCAGCACTATCAATGGGTTGTGTATTTCTTTGTTGTGATGACGCTGTCCTTGACGTTTTAAAAAGTTTAACACGATCCCTGGCCTTTCCCCACTAGATGGCAGTAGTGACAGCCCCAAATGTCCCTTAGGCTTTGCCAAACTCCTCTGGGGCAAAATGGACCCCAGCTGAGAACCACAGCTCTGGAAGACCAGCAGTTTTCAGCCGGCGCGCTGCAGGAACATTTAAACATGCCGTTCCTGACCTCTTTTCTCTTAGATTATCACATTAAAAAATGACAGCCCACACAATAATCGTAACATGTGAATGAATCAAAGTTATACCTATTTTTGTCAGTTTGGCAAAAAATATACTTTGTGGCGTGCCGCAGAATTTTAGTAATTAGTTTCTGGACGCCACGAGATGGAAAAAGTTGAAAATCGCTGCTCTAGACTAAGCCTGCGCCTTGCTTCCAAATAGACCCTTGACATACCGCGCTGCGTTACGCAGGGAAGACAAAGCGTCTTCCCCTCGATGACCCGGTACGCGTCCCTCCTTTAGGATGAGGTGGTAGTGAATGACCGGTGGGGTTTTAACTGCTCCTGTCACCACGGAGGATACTACAACTGCGAGGATAAGTTCCAGCCGTCGAGTGTGCCGGACCACAAGTGGGAGATGTGCACCTCCATCGACAGGAGGTCCTGGGGCTACCGTCGCACCATGTCAATAGCCGACACCTCCAGCGAATCTGAAATCATCTCGGTAAGACCCCTGTGAGCGAGGTAACCGCCATCAAAGTCGCCCTCTAACGGAGCGTGGTGGGAACACTCTGGGTGAGCCGCAGGTGGGTAGGGCCTCTGGGCCGTCCAACGCAGGCAGAGAAGCCTGTCCCGAGGGAACCACTGTAACCACAGAGGAGAGTTTTATGTACAGACACGTTCCTCCCAGGGCTATTTTCAGCTGGACGTATGGGGTCGTTTCCATCTCCTGCAACCATAAAGGGATAGTTAAGTAGATTTGGGGGTCGTCCTTAATCATTAAAATATTTATTAATGTAATATGGGTAAATGCTTAGAGGATTGAGTGGAAAAATAAGTTACACTCACAACTACATAAAATTAACTACACAGAAAAAAGACTGACAGGAAACATAAAAAGTTAATGGTGTGGTGTCTTTGGGGTACAGTAACAAATTCTCCTTTTTAGAATTTTCTGTATACAACCTTCATTTTTCTAGGTTGCCCTGAAGTGCACCTGTTGTTCAAGGTCACAATTACAAGTAAACCCACACACATCCCACTAGAAGCCTTGAAGAATGTACCTTAGTCCCTCCTTATTCTCAGGGATATGGTCCAAGACCCCCAGTGGATGCCTGCAACCAAGGATACTACAGAACTCCCTCTCTCTCTCTCTCTCTCTCTCTCTCTCTCTCTCTCTCTCTATATATATATATACACACACACACATATATAAAATGTTTTATCCTACACTATACATACCTATGGCAAAGTTCAATTTATAAATTAGGCACAGTAAGAGATTAAAAGCAATAAATAATAGAACAAGTATAACAATATACTGTAATAAAAGTTATGTGAATTTGGTCTCCCCGAATACCCGATTGTATGTCCTCACCCTTCTTCTTGTGATGATGCAAGATGACTCATTGCTTACTTGATGAGATGAAGTGAGGTACTTAAAACTTACGAACTGCTTATTTCTGGAATTTTCCATGTAGTATTTTTAGGCTGCAGTTGACCCTGGATAACTGGAACCATGGGAAGCGGAACCGCAGATAAGCGGATCTCTTGACAGGGTGTTTTCCCGGTGGGGCAGCGTGCACATTCATATAGCCCAGCACACACAGAGCATCCTGAAGGTCCTCAGATCGCTTCTGTCTCCCCAACGCCTCCACAGCGCCCCCTCAAATCTCTGATCCCCACAGTCTCTCTATGACTCCATGTAACCCTTTCACGGCCAAGTGCTTTGTTCTCAGCTTTCCTGCACGCACTTTGTGGCTTCTGACACATTACCCTTTCCTCCCAGGGAAATGCCCATGATCACTCCCTGGAATTCGAGTTAATATAGCTCTCCATCTTATAGCAGGATTTTTCAGTTTCTTAATAATCCTGTGCTGCTTTTATAATGACAAAAATATATAGTATTTTTCAAAAGGGTAAAGGACATTCACAAAGCAGGGAGAGAAGGTGCCCTAGATTCTTTTTCTTCTCTTAATATCTGTGTGTTCTAGGCATTATGCCAGGCTTAGAATTCATAACTAGGGTTTTCTTGTTTCTGCTCTCTCCAGGAACTGGTTCAGACAGTGAGTTTGGGAGGAAACTATCTTCTCAACATTGGGCCGACTAAAGACGGACTGATTGTTCCCATCTTCCAAGAAAGGCTCCTTGCCGTAGGGAAGTGGCTGCGCATCAACGGGGAGGCTATCTATTCCTCTAAACCGTGGAGGGTTCAGCTGGAAAAGAACGAATCTGTATGGTGAGCCTTGTCTTCGGTCGTGTGCAGCAACGGGTCTGCGGCCCGTCTTGAACTGGCATCTCCGTGGGTCTGTGATATTAGAAGCCACACTGGAAGTCATCTTGAAGAGTCCCAAAAGCTGTTCTTTTGCTACTAATTTGTACCCCAGTTTATGGTTTAAGACACCAGGATATCTGTGACTAGTGAGGGCTGAGATAGGCTTGGTGCAAAAAGCATCCGTCAATTTACTTGGCACTTTACCTTGTCTTCCTAAGATTAGTAATAGCTAATAGCTGCGTAGCACCTACGACATGCAAGACTCCATTCTAACTTCTTTCCACCTATTTAATCCCCTCAACAAGCCCACCAAATGGATACTGTTATTACCCCCACATTACAAGTGAGAAAGGGACCCAAAGCGGTAATGCCACTTGCCTAGGACCACAAAGCTAGTAAATGGAGAAGTCACGGTTCATACTTGGAATTGTACATCTGGTTACTCAGTCTGGGACCTGAGTTTCTGCAGCTGCAACGTGGGGTGATGCTGCTTAACTTCCTAGAGCCCTTGTGAGGGTTAGATGAGATAATGGGCGTAAAGCTTCCAGCAGCGTGTCAGGCACATATGGCACGTTTGATAAGAGACATCTGCTCGTGTCGTACCGTACAGCACAGGTCCTTGGATCAGGGCGAACACGTCCACCCCTCAGTTCCGGACGAGCTCCCGTTGAGTGGTTTTCCTCCTCCTCTCCAAGCACGGTGAAATCTCAGAACAAAGTTGTCTTCATTGCACACCTTGCCCTGGCGATATCCTGTCACGTTTTCACATGGAGTTGGAGTTGAAAAAATGTTGGAATAATAAGGCAGCTGGCTTCAGTGGGAAATAACTAGAATAAGAGTTTAAAAATTTTTCAAGAAAACTTATAAGCCAATAGAGAAGGAAAATAGAAGCTATCTCAGGAGAAGGCTGCTTTCTTCCCATAGATCTTAACTGTTATTGAGTCATTGTGCCTGGCACTGGCATCAGTGATAAACACAAGGTGTTGGAATGGGTAGTTAACAGAAAGGGAAGTGTATCAGGTTATGTGTGACAACCTTGGGTGTCAGGGTAACAGGCCAGTTACCTCTCATAACGATGCCGTTCTCCCCTAGGTACACCTCAGAAGGAGAAGCTGTTTATGCCATTTTCCTGAAATGGCCAGAAAATGGAGTCTTAAGTCTTAAATCCCCCCAAACTACCTCCAGTACCCAGGTAAGGAGCCTCAGTCAGTCCTTGGCAGAGATGTAACAGTTTTGGAAGGAATTGGCAGGTCTTCCCTACTTCTTTTTTCCTCCCCAGGCTTCCCCTACGTCATTCCCCCTTTGGACCGCCTTCCCTGCCCTGCCCTTCCCTGCCCTTCCCTGCCCTGGCCCAGCTTGGCTGTTTTCTCCCATTTTCAGGCCGTGTTCTGTACTCACTGGTGCATTCCTGTTTTCTCCACTGCCCTTTTCTTTCTTTAGATAATTATGCTGGGAATCCAAAAAGATCTGAAGTGGTCCAAAAATCCCCATGAAGATCTCCTCATTTATCTGCCCCAGTTACCACCCTCTGCTCTCCCGGTGGAGTTTGCTTGGACCATAAAGATGACGGGAGTGGAGTGATCATTGGAGTTCAAGAGGAAAGGGACACCATCTGTTGTACACTGTTTTGATTTTCTTCTTACAGTACCATCGTTGCAATAAACTCCTCTTTCCTACCCAGCGATGGCTTTCCAACATATTTTAATCACAGGAATTGAATGCCTTACTCTGATGTCTCAGTGGCTCGGAGCTTGGAGACACCTTGCCAGCATGTCTCTCTCTCTCTCTCTCTCTCTCTCTCATCAGCAGAAGAAAGAGCCAAACAGTTAAGCTCTGTTTTCATCCTTCCCAACTTTGGAAATTATCTGCAAAGCAACCTTCTTCCCTCCATTCTCTGTTTGATGACTGGCTTACTCAATGACTTCAGATAAAGAATAAGCCAGTTCACCATGTTGCCTATGGGAGGAGATTTAAAGGGTTTGTCAGGTTTAGTCGCCTGCTGTTGATTTGGCATCGATGTCACCAGCACCCCCTGGAAGAGCTGGAGAGCCCTGAGGGGAAGGGGAAGGCTTGCGAGGCTAACAGCTCTTTGGAACTGGCCAAAGGCAGCTGAGGGCTCTGAAATTCAATCTGTGTACAATGACACTATGAAGAAAATGGATGTGATTCTGCCCTACTTTTAAAATAGAATCCAATACATTTTAATGTCAAATCATTTCTACCAAAAAATGTGGTAGCTTTCTTTTCCCATTCGCTGTATGGGCTGCTCACTGCAGCTTTGCATTTCCCCGTTTGAAAAGTGCTGGCAGCATCTGCTCAATGCAGAACAAATGAAATATCTTTGGTTTTTCTGTTCCTCACTTCTAGTACCATTCTCTGGTTTTTATTCTTTCTTTTTCTTTTTTTAGCATCAAGCCAAAAAAAAAGGAGGGGGGACTTTATATGGAGAAGCCTTAAAAACATTTAATCAAAGAAAAGCATTTACCTTAAAGAACTAAGTACATGCAAACACTTTGGTCATGGGTTTTATTTTAGGTCTGGGGACATTTGGGAAATAAGTGGTAACAGTCTTCATACATACCACAGGTGAAGGAGAGGTGGCTTCTTACATAGCAAATATCTTCTTAAGGAAGAAATAAATGACCCATTGAATTCTTTTTATAAATCACTCTTCACTAAGTATGACTCATTTTTATATCCATTGCATTTATAAACACATTTTCTATTTGAAAAGGGTAAATAAGTAATTTCGGAAACTCATAGTATGTCATTCCAGGCATTATCATGGAAAAGTGTACAGGACAGGAATTTGACATCCAGGCTGGAAGGGCCACCCTGGCTGGTGTGGCTTTAGGGGGCTGCGCACCGTCCCACAAACAGGGTCACTGTTTCCATTTGGGTCAGAACACACGCCTGGGTTTCAGGCCAGGTGCCCCACTGGGGGCATGTGAGAGCAAACCAATTGATGTTTCTCCCCCTTTCTCCCCGACTTCCCCTCTCTCTAAAAACAAATAATGGCCCTGGCTGGTGTGACTCAGAGGATTGAGTGCCAGCCAGCCTGTGAACCAAAGAGTCGCTGGTTCAACTCCCAGTCAGGTCACATACCTGGGTTGTGGGCAGGGTTCCCAGCAGACAGCACAGGAGAGGCAAGCACACACTGATGTATCTCTCCCTCTCTTTCTCCCTCCCTTCCCCCTCTTTAAAAATAAAATCTTTTTAAAAAAATAAAAACACAATTTTTAAATAGCTGGAAGGGCCTTAGACTTACACTCTCATCCTAGAGAAGGGAAACTGAGGGACATGGTGGGGAAATGGTTTGTCCGTTGTCATATATATAGCTGGTCTCCAGCCAAATCTAGTACAATTCTTTTGAGTTGACTACCAGTTCAGCCTCTTAAATTGGGATAGATCTAATCAAATGTCCTATGACTTATTTAACAGATGTATATAGAAATCTTAAGGAGTATTTTTCTCCAGTGCATACAGGACATTTACAAATATCAATGCCACGGAAGCAGCTTCACGCGGGCAGTAGAGTATGTCTGCAACACAATGAAAAGATCATAAAAACCCGAAGAAAACCTGTATGTTTGGAAATTTTAAAACACATTTATAACACATCAATGACCAAAGAAGTCAGCTGCTCGAAACCCTTCAAATATATTACTGTGCAGAAAACTTTTATTAATATACCTCTGAAGCCCTATAGTATGGTCCCTGCCAATCTCTCTCATCTTAGTGGAAAGGCCCCTTCCTACTCCCTCCCTGCTTTCTAATCATTCTGGCCTTCTTTTATTCCAAAACAATGTTTTACAAACATTTCCAAGTCCTGCCTACAGTAAGAAATTTATTTTACATTGCAACCTAATTGACATAATGGGGAACAAACAAGTTTTGTAAAACAGTACTTAGTACTTACACAGTGCATCCTGATATTGTTTTTTTTTCTTAACCTTTATATCCACTAAGTTGATATGATGACCACAATGTGTATTTTGAAAAATACTGCTCTAAGCATTGAATTTCATTGCCTCGGGATTTGCACGTGCTCGCTGTCTAAAAAGCTTTTCTTGTAACTTCTTTACCTGGATAGAGCTCACTCATCCTTCCAGGTGTTAAATCAAACGATGCTCCTCTCTCTGGAGTCAACTGCCTGCATTTGAATCCTGAAGATGGTGATGAAGAAGTTAATATGTGCAAAGAACTCAGAACAGCATGTGGCAAGTAGCAATGCTCCATCTTATTGCAAATGGTAGTAATTATACCACTGTTTGTGTGACTGTTGTAGACGAAAACGGGACCACAAACTAACCCTGCCAAGCTGGGGGAGGAAGGGACACATGGCAGGCCTGACAAACTGGTGACCGAAAGTAAACATTTCGGAAGGTCTCAACCCAAAAATTCCTAAGGAAAGCAGATCATGGTGGTGAGTGTGTCATAGGCCAATAGCTTCCTCGACCAAGGTCAGTTTGTGTGTTAAGTGAGCCTGTACATTGTCTTTGTGCATCTAGGGGAACATACCTTTGACTTGTCAGAGTAATTTTCTTTCCCAGACCCCTTCCAAGGCACAACTTCTGGCACTAGAGAACCAGAGAACAGAATGCCCCATTGTTACTGTGGGCGTACTATCGCCATGTACTGCACGCGTTCTTAACTGTACCCACCAGTGTAAAAGAAGTGTCTCTCCGTTTCGCTTTTTATCCAGGCCTGGAGATTTCCTCCTGTTCGGCTTTCTCCTGCCTCCTTAATCTACCAACAGATTTCACATAATCCTCCTTACAGCTTCTCTTTTGATTGTAACGTATAAAACAAGCTGCAGAACTGCCATTCTCCAGAGCATTTACTCAATCCATTGATATTTTGCTTCCTGGCTTGTTCTCAAAATTTGTCTCAAATAAGGCTTTTCTATAGATTGGCCATTCTTCCATCGACAATAATATCCGTCTGCCCACACCTCCTTGACTCTAAACCTATGAAAACAGAAACTTTGTTTAATATTTGATCCTCTTCATGGTCCAAGAATCTCACTTCTCACGGCAATGAAACAGGGCTCACACGCACCCCATAAGGAGTACGGAAGAACTGGGCGGATAGAGGGTAAGCTGAGAGGCTGGGGGCGGGGCCAGCGTAGGGCGTCGCACGTCACTGCAGAGGCCCGCCCCAAGGCGAAGCCCTGCCCACCAGGAGGTGAGTAATCACGTGGGACTCGGTGGGACCAACCCCGGGACAGCGGGACCAAGATGGCGACAGTGAGGGACGTGCTGCGGCAGCGGCTGGTGGGCTTGGCTTCCGTCAGGGATGTAAGTGCCACGGCCGGCGAGGGGCGGCCGTGCAGGCACCGTGACGCTCTGGAATCGGGGGCCTGACTCGGTCGGCTCCTCTGAGAGGCGAAGCCGGAGAGCAAGGTCCACCTTTCCCGAGTCAGGTGGACCTTGAAGTCTTAATGTGTACCCCAGATCCCTGGAGGATTCTAGGGAAAACAGTCCCGGAGAGGGGGAGCGACTTGCCCGGGTCCTGGAGACTTGGGACGCCGGCTCCGGTGTCCTAATTTCCTGTTCACGGCTCTTTCTGGTGACCCTGGCACCTTTCTCCGTCTAATTGAGCTTCAGACCTCTGCAAGCTCTTCCTTAGTGAGAAGTCACAGATACCCCTTCAGTTCCCAGTGGGAAAAGCAGTCATTCCCCTCCCTTTGCTTAAATGCTCAACTGTTACACAGTTGGAAACGAGTCCGGACTTCAGGGAGTTGGAAATGGGCCTGCACTGGGCACAGGAATCTCTTGTTTATTCTCGTTTCTAAGGGGCGTGTTCTCTCTGCTCCTAATTCTAAAAGAGACCAGATGTGCATTATTATTATTATTATTATTTATGCAGTCATTGATTCTTAGAGCAAAGGGGAGAAAGAGAGAAACATCAATTTGTTGTTCCCTTTATTTATGTATTTATGGGTTGATTCTTGTGTGTGCCCTGACCTGATCAACCTGTAATCTTGGCATATCAGGACAACTTTGTAACCAACGGAGCCATGGAGGGCCAGGGCCAAATGTGAATTAAGTGGTGAGAACTAGTGTTTGTGGTCTCAGCATTAGTGAGAATGAGTCCATTTCTTCAGGTCCGCTCCCTGGGGGACTTTTTTTCCCTCCACATTTTATGGAGTTTATTTGGTTTCATTATGTAGTATCTACAGTTCACACACAAAGAAAGAAAAGAGGAGCGCAAGTTAGGTGTTTAAATTTGTTCAAGTATTACAATAATGAGTTCCACAATTTAGTCCCACAAAATATGGTAATACACCGTTGTCATAACACAGCAAGCCCCATTAGTCACTGTGGGAAATCAAAGTGCTTTAATTCCTTCCAAACTGTCAAGAAGACAGGGAGGGGTGGGGCAATTGAAAGTGCCTTTGTGACAAATGTTATTGTTAACCCATCCTCACGGGTGGTAGTGCTGGGCTGGGGGTGGGGGTGGCATTAAAAAGAACATTTTCTTTGTAACCCTTCCCAGCTAGGACACTGGATTAGTTTCCTATGGCTGCTATAGCAAAGTCTTAACAAAGTTGGGGGCTTAAAATAACATTCATTTTTTCCCCACAATTCTGGAGGTCAGAAGTCCAAAGTCATTTTCATGGGGCTGACATAAACGTTTTAGAAGAGAATCCATTTCTTGTCTCTGCAGTTTCTGCAGAGAAAAGTGGTATTTCCGTGGCTGGGGCTGCATCACTCCAGTCTTTGCCTCCGTGGTCACATTGCTGCCTCCTCCTGTGTGTCTGAGTGTGTGTGCATCGCCCCAGGGGATCGGGAAGACACATGCCTGTCACTTTTTGTTTTCTCTTTTAAATCAAAGGTCAGCACCTCATCCTTGAGTACTTTCCCAAAGCAGGTGAAAACTGTGGAAGTTGGTCCCCGAGATGGGCTACAAAATGAAAAGGTAAACCTAGAAATCAGTCAAAAAAGTTTTTTTGAACCCTGAGAGTTCCCAGGTGGTAAGTAAGTGCAGCAGGGATGGACAGAGCTATCCAAGACATGATCACTCTGCCCAGTGTAGGTCTGGGTCGGGGGACCAGGTGGGTGCCTGTGACAGTTAAGCAATCTAAGATAGTGGTGCATGGGGCGCAGTATCCCCACGTGCAGTTCAAGGCTGTGCGGTGGCTGGGGAGCGCTGCGGGAGTGCAGCGCGATGGTGAGGGCATGCCTTTGCATCCAGCAGGTCCATGGAAGGGGGTTTATGTAAGCTAAGGAAGCCTTGAAGTCCATATGCAAAGATTTAGCCTTGGGGGTGTTCTCACAACTATTGGTAATAGCAGAAAATTGGAATAGCGCTGTCCAATAGAACTTTCTATGAAGATAGATATGTTCTAGACTTGGGCTGTGCTGTGTGATAGCCACTATCACATGTGGCACATGTGGCTGTTGAGCACTTGAAGTGTGGCTGAGGAATTTTTATTTTTATGTACTTTTGATTAAAATATATATAACCACATATGGCTAGCATCTAACATATCAGACTTCACAGACCTGAAGGTTACATATCAGGGAGGTTTTAAGGGTGGTTTTCTTTTGTTTCTGGTGTGTGTTTTGGAAATAATCATGTATTAATTTTTTTCATGAAGAAAGCATAAAAAAACCCACAACAAGCCTAATTTTAATATTGAGCACTTGCTAGGAACAATAAACTGTGAGTCCCAGGAGGGCAGAATCATGTCTGCCCTGGAACATGGAGGGCCCTCAAAAATCATTTCGTAATGTAACAGATTACATTAAAGCAATGCAAGAGAAATTGTGGGGGAGCGTATGGAAGGGCTTGAAGTTCTTAGGATTTTTTACCTGATCCTATAGGTACTAGGGAGCCACGGAAGGCATTTGAGCAGCAGAGTGAGAGAGTGGAAGCTATTTTAGGAGGATTCCTGTGGGGTGGACTGGTGGAGTGAGACTATGCCATAATGGCCCTGGGATAATGATGCTAGATTTAGAAAGAGAAATCCATAGAGTCTGCTTAGCAACTAGACCTGGTAGGGGAGGGAGGGCAACACCAGGCTGAACACGTGAGAATGAGATCCTCTGCCACTTGGGAGATGGAAGAGAAGGGCGTAATGCTTTGGGGGCCCCATCTCGTAAGACCTGGAGGGTTAGTCATTCCTGCCCTTTCAGGCCATGGTACATGGCCCTCAATTTGCTTAAGACCAGATCATAAACTAACAGACATTTAGTTAAGAAAAAGCCTATATGGCAGAAAACTATTGTTTCCATGTAAATATTAACTCCTTTTCAGATGATAAGCTGCCTGCAATGCACCATGTCTGCAGAGCTTGAAGACACCTTGTACCCTAACTGTCGGCGAGGATTACACGTGAACTCACATTAGTGAGATAGTGAAGTGTTTGCTGTAGCAGACGCCCTGAACCAACAGGCGCTGCTTTCCAAGGCCGTTTGCTTCTCAGCTTGGCTGACCTGTTTGTTCTGGTGTTCGTCTCTCCATTGCAGAATATTGTACCTACTGCAGTGAAAATCAGGATGATAGACATGCTTTCTGAAGCAGGACTCCCCGTTATAGAAGTCACCAGCTTTGTGTCTCCCAAGTGGGTTCCTCAGGTGAGCCCCAGCCATCAGTGAGAGGTGTTTTTCAGAAGAGAGGGATGGAAAGGTTTGCATTTGTCCTGGAAGTAAGTAGAAGTCAAGAGCATAGGTTTCTGGGTCTCTGACTTGCAGAGGTCTTAGGGGATTCATAGCAGCATTACTCAGCAGGAAAAAAAGAAAAAGAAGAAAGGAAGGAAGGAAGGGAGGGAGGGAGGAAGGGAGGAAGGAAGGAAGGGAGGGAGGGAGGGAGGGAGGGAGGGAGGGAGGGAGGGAGGGAGGGAGGAAGGGAGGAAGGAAGGGAGGAAGGTAGGTAACCTGGCAGACGGGAGGCTTGGATTCAGCCTGGGCTCTGCCCCTGAATTGCCTGGTGTCCTTGCTGGCACCACGCAGCCGAGTGTTAGATCGCACAGAGCCAAGCCCAGTGACCGTGCTCTCGGTGTGTTCTCCGTGGCCGGCTGTGGCCGGCCGGTAGTATTGGCACTGCTGTCACCACTGTGTAAAGCTGACAGTATTCTCCATGTGGAGAAACTGGAGCTGCCACCCACACCCAGGGGCCTTCTGGCCCGTCGGCTGTCACGAGTGGGAATGGCTCTGGGGAGACAGCTCTACAGAACTCTTCTTCACCAAGGGTTCTGGAGACCGTGTGATGAAAAGGTTTTCTCTGCCTGAGCTCTCTGCTTGCCCTTGCTGATGACTCCACAGTGTCTCCTTTGGTTCCCAGATGGCTGACCACACCAAGGTCTTGAAGGGTATCCAGAAGTTTCCTGGTATCAACTACCCAGTGCTGGTCCCAAATTTCAAAGGCTACCAGGCAGCGGTAAGTTTGTTGGGGGGAGGGGGGGCCTGCCTTCTCCCTGGGCCTCAGGCCCCGTCCTGGGACTTCATTCTGCAGGGCTGTTTCCAGTGGTGAGGAGCGCCGCCAGCCAGACAGATGACAGGCGGGGGCAGTGCTGGCCACTCCCGGCTCTCCGGTCTGGACAAGTCTGAGGTCCTGCCCGGATAGTACGGCTAGTAGTAGGGTAACATTTTGAGGATTTCAGAAGATAAAATGAACATAAATTAATTAGGAGATAAGTGTTTAATCAATTATAGCTTTTTTGTTCTTACCCATTTCCTCTGTAAAGAAAGGAAAGCAAGATCTCCTCAAGAATTTCAACAGGCCCTGGCTGGTGTGGCTCAGTGGACTGAGTGCCAGCCTGTGAACCAGAAGGTTGCTGGTTTGATTCTCAGTCAGGGCACGTGCCTGGGTTGCAGGCCTGGTCCCCAGTATGAGGCACGCAAGAGGCAACCACACATTGATGTTTCGCTCCCTCTCTCCCTCCCTTTCTTTCTCTAAAAATCAGCAAATAAAATCTTTTTAAAAAAGTAAAAGAGTGACTAGCTTCCTGGGCGATGGCAGTCACAATATTGGTCCCTGGGGGAAGGTCAAGGTTCTTTCTTACTGAGATATGATCCACTGTATTAATTTTCTGGGGTTGCCATAACAAAATACCACAAACGACGGAAA